TTTCTTGAGAAATACGTGCGACAAATAATAATAAAATATGTCTATTGCACATCTACGAGTGGTATTGAAGGTAGAATGAAGCAACGGTTCTACTAGGTCGTATATTTAAGATGGATTAGCATATTATTTATTGCACTAAGCTTGGAGGAATAATTTTAAGAACTCTTTAGAACGAAAAACTGAAACGGATTGGTACTTTCTTTAAAAATAATTACAATGAGATAGATAGACAGATTAGATACTTCAATCGCTCTACAGATTTCACTGTTTGGTAACAGATTGCAAAAACCAAAGAGGGGGAAATGAACTGAGTTGGTCACCACGTATACTATGTGTATATATGCATATATAGATCATCAGTTTATTGGCAACGATTTATATGGTGCAAAGTGCAAATCGTTTGATTTGTTTACATCCGACAGAACTTGTGACTGTCGCTTATGGATGGGTAGAAGGAAGGGTGGGGAAGGAAGGTATATAGAACCGGAAACCATGGGGAAAGGAAATCATCCTCTTTGAATCCCAAACACATCCTATATTCCCATTATAAATACATGTATTTGAAAAAAAACCCCGAACAATGCCCTGCCTGACAGCCATAATTTGTACAGATCATTTAAGTTGACCTTGCACCTGTTTTACGAGTAGATTATATTAAAAAAAACAACCGCAATTAAATAATATCAAATTAGCACCAAGTACCAAGTGGGAATAAGAACAGGCCTGAAAAAACTGGCAAATAATTGAACAAATCCCTCGATTCAATGGGTTGGTTGCATTTGCCAAATCAGCAACTGCAGAACTAAAGGTTCTCTAGAGTTACTTCGGGTTATGCTGGAAAGTGACGCATCGATGGGTTTGAGAGTACTCGTACTCGTACTCGCACTCGCACTCGTACTCGATCCATTTGCGCAGTTACAATGTTGTTGACCCACTTCGGTGTGTGGAGGTCCGCTATCCCATTGCATTTGCTTAGTATCCACAAAAATTCAATTCGACACCCCACCGAAACACCAAACATACACACGTTTCGAAATTTCGAAAGTAAACTGAGAATAGAAGAAGTCCGCGAACCATTATCAGCATTTACCTTGGGATGGCACAGCACTTGGTCGTGTCATTCACTTCTGTCTGGGCTTTTGCCTATTTTTGAAACGAATTCAAAGAAAGTCCTTGAGACAAACGAAGGCGAAATGGTGTGGATTAGATCTTACACATTCTTTAAATAAAAGAACAAAGGTGAAAAGGGGAAAGACCTATGCGAGGACTCTCCAAGCTATTGACATTGTCCCACTGATGACAAACCTTTTCGTAAACTATTTATGATCTTATCCCTTTCTGGACGTTTGAACTCAGATCTTGACGGGCTTGTATGCAACTGAATCTGCGCTTTAAACTCCGTGCAACATTTGTTCTGTGCCAATTCTACTGCTCATGTATTTCTAGTTTAGTGGCTAACCTTTGGCTTTTCTATGTTCTTTAACAGCACGTTTGCGTATTGGATGCACTTCCTTTCCTTGCACTATTTGGCCAACACTTGGAGAACAATCGGCTAGAAGTTCGGAAAGCGACGTCGGCGGTACGGGGGCAACCACAACGACAACGTTTCGCGCGTTGGGGCGTTCGGTGAGCGACTGAACCTGAATGAGCCCTCCCCAACACTCAAAGCGAGTCCCCAACAATCAACTGCAATCGCCGACAGCCGACAACAATGATGGACGTCAAAGACCGAAAGTGCGAGGTATCACGCGAGTTGCCAGCGGCAGCATAAAAAGCAGAATAAAATAAAATCAAAGAAGAAACCCACAGACGACAATAGAAGTGCAACAAGTGCCGAGTGCCAAAGTGCCGATCAGGCGGATTATGTCTATAGATATAGTATTTGTACGATTTGATTCGATTCTGTTCGATTCCGCTCGATTCCGCTCGATTCGGTTCCGTTCCGTTCTGATCCGTTCGCGGGGAGCAGCAGAGAGTTGAGGCCGGTCAGCGAACGTCACGTTTTTTGCTTTGGCAAATCTTTCCCTGCTCATGTTATACCCTTTTCAAGGGTATACCCACTTCTCTTAGATGTTCGCACAGGCCAGACAGAGGCATCCCGATCCAGAGGGACTTCTACTGGAATTTGTTCAAGACTTTATGATAAGATTTCTGAAACATGTGCGTATTTTGTTGATACTGAACTGATAATCTCAATAGGATAGTCTTTCTTTACAGCCCCCCAAGAGTCGGCGATTGTTTCTGGCACGAGTAAAGATAAAGAATCCGTCTTTCACCGCGATTAGATAGATAGCCATACAGAGTCATTCGAAAACTTTCGAAGGCTTTCGAGCTAACGCATCGATTATCATACGGCAATCAAAAATGTGCCAATTATGGAAGCACATTTTTTGACACCTTACTTTATTCTTACAACCATGATGACGATGATGATGATTTAAGGTATTAGAAACTTCGGAGTTCTTTTTCGTTCTAATTCAAATATTTCATTGTTTTTGCTGTTGGCTGCCGTCGGCTGTCGTTAATGAAAAGTTAAACCGAATGTTAATTGCATTTCGTTGCTGTTTCTTAGGCAATTTGTATGCTAGTAATACAGTGCTGCCTGTTGTTGTGAGCTCTTTCAGGGCTTTGTTCTGGCCCCTAAATATGAACAGCAGTACTTGCTGCTGCGTTCTGTTCTGCTTTGTGGCTTTATCGGGAGGCACGTGGCGTATGCGTAATATAGGATAAACGCTATGAAAAGAACACCTGTGGACGAGGGCCAAGACCCAAATGAAAAGAGCTTATATGAAAAAATGAGATGGGAATAGAGATTAGAACTCTTAATTAGGGATTCCTCTGGACCTTGCGAGCAATGTTTTTGATATTATTTATGATATTTGTGGAGGTTACTTAACCCACGCTGTAAATACTGAACGAGAACTGTTCAGTTATGCAAACAACATTTAGTCGAACTTCGGCAACACGATTAACTGGAAATTCTGGCTAATTTAAGAACAGAGTAAACACACCCGATCCGACGGAGGTCTCACTTGAATGGCAAACACTCCGCGCGACACTTTCGATGCTTGGCAGGCCGTAAATCCGAGGTGAAGTGCCATAAAGTATACCCCAAAACAACAACAAAAAGAACAAAACAACAGCCTTACGGATACGCACACTTTCGAGTTGAGAGTAGTAGTATTTCCGCCTGCTACTCAATCCGCCAGCTCGAGGAATGGAATCCAACTGAGGACATGTCGAACACAAAGCTAGAACAGAGCCGGATGGCCAGGGTTTGCAATCGACAGTGTCATTATCGTTAAGTGGGGGCACAGATTAAATTACAGATAAGATGTGCCCAGCATTGGGCCATATAAATCTTAAGATATCAGTCAGCTAGTCAGCCGCATGGCGTTTCGTATGAATACATGACAGGCGGCGCACCAGAGCCAGAACCAGAACCAGACCCAGACATGACAATCAGGCAGATGATGAGAGAGGAGCTTTGCGCTTTACGGGGTGTTTCTCCCCCCAGCGAACAGTTCAATCTAATTATCGGAATACATACTGGTGTGTAGCTGAGCTGAGAGTTTTCCCCGCAATAAAATAAAATTCATTGAGGTTTTATTTCCTTTTACCCATCCTTTGGCATTCAAATCGAATCCGTTTCGCGCTCATTTAGCACGTACGGAAACCGCCAAAACCAATTTAACACCGCAGCCGCAAAGCAGGGAACACTTTTTCCTCTGCCCTGTCGAAAACAAACGAGTATTGGTTTATTGTATACCTACGTACATACGTACATATACGCATAGTTACAAATAGAGAAAAATCAAGTTAAAACATGTTGCTGACAAATTGCAAAATAAAATGGTCCAATGACAGCAGAGGGCCTGGGGAAAGGAAGCGGAAAACTCTGTTCAATGTTGTAAATAATTCCCAATTGCCTGTCAATTTCCACTGACACTGTAAAGTTCTACCCTCCACCCGCCGCCCGAGACGGGGAGCACTCCTTGAGGGGTTAACCAAATGGGCCCAAGTGATGGCCTGTTGACAACAAGATTGAGTTGACAAATTGTCAAGCCAATTTATCATGGCACTCGCAATGGGTGGAGAGTTCTGGTCTGTTTGGCAAACATTTATGCCAGTTGCAGCTCGAAACGCGACAAGGCAAAGAGAAAGTGTTTATTAGTGGACCTTGATGGATTAATCAAACAGAAATACCCGTACAAGAGCTCTGAAGATCTCTGTCTTGCATCTGTGTTCTCTTCTTCAAGGTCCCCACTAAAGGCTGCAGCTTTCTCCTGCTTCGAGAGGATCGTAACATACACGTGCCGCTCTATTCTTTATGGTGCAATCAAATCAGACTGTCAGTCTTGTCTGTCCGCCTCCGTGCTCCAATGAAATGAAATGTCGGCTGCTGCCGCAGGCCAACTTCATTAAATCGACATAAATCATGGTCGTGTGGTCGAATGGTCGAATGAAGTGAAATATGATTGATTACGTGGGAAAATCGCACAGACTTAGTGCTGGAAACTTGGTAGTTAACTGCTGCCTAATAGGCCTCATTATTTGCTATCTGCCAGACCCACACATGGCCTATGGAGACTGGGGATAAACTTTTCCATTCGAGGTGCATAAAAATGCAAATAAAGGCAGTCGGAGTAGGAGGTGGCGAGAGAATGAATAAAATCATTGGCGAAGGAGAAAATGAAAAATAAAATGTAACCGCCAAACACGAAAAGTTTTTAATGCAAATACGAAAATCGCATGAAAGCATAGCACAGATCCACTACGTCCTGTGCTCCCCGGCTCCTGTCCTCGGCATCCTTCCTTCCTTTCATTCAACGAGGCGTGCCGCATTTTTCGGGCGGGAAAACAGGAAGCGTGGAAAAGCGTCGCCCCCCTGCATAATTTTACAGTCGTCGGACGTGGCGAAAAGTTTAACCCCAAAGTGTTTTTATATTTTCTCTGGTCCTCTAGGTGCCATGTGCCGTGTGCCGTGTCCCCGATGAGAATATATATATATATCTGTGTAGTTCTGAATAGCAGCTTAAAGGGATTTTAAAGAGTGAGTCGCTTGGTCCGGTTGAGATAGCGCTGCCAGGCGAGCTCCAGCAGGAGGATGAACACGACCAGGATGTAGCCAAAGATCAGCATCAGGAGTAGCGGGGCAACGTACTCCATGCCCACGGTAATCACAAAGTTCTGGGCCACGCAATGGAGCTTCATGTGGACCCAGTAGCTGCGCTGCTTCCGGTAGACACCCGTTTCCAAGACACGCAACAGTCTGCCAGGGAATACCATGAAGGACAAATAGATGTAAGGGCTCTCTGTAAGGGACACTCACCTTAGACGAAACAGCTCCTTGTAGGTGGAGTTGCGATGCAGGTGCGTGTAGAACAGTTGCTCGGGTCGGAACAGTATCTCGTTGAGGTCACAGATCTCCTGGGCCGTAAAGTAGCGCTCCACATAGGCATACCCCGAGGATGTCTCAAAGACATAGACATAGCCGGGATTGTCCCTGACCCGAAGCACTCCCTCTTCGGCGGGCAGCCAAAGATCGGGATTCTTCGACTGCGACTCGATCTTGCGTTTTATGAACAGATGGATATCGGAACGTCTGGAGTACTGTCAGGAAGAGAAGAGAGACCATAGATTGACAGGGGAAGAGTGTAAGAGAGATGGAACCCACATTCAGATAGCTCTTGGTAAAGGGCAATGGCTCCAGGCCCACTGTCAGCTGGCTCTCCGCCAGCTGTTGCATTGTCTTGATCTTGGACTTGACCGGAGAACTCAGCAGCGAGGACACCACCACAGATGTGTAGTAGTTGTACATGATGAAGCTGATCAGGAAGAGGGCAAAGTAGATCAGCCGGCCGCCATTGGAGCGGGGTATCAGCGCCGAGCTCTGGATGCAGGCGGCCCCAAAGCTGATCAGGAAGGTGGTCAGCAGCGAGGGTAGGTAGTCGAGCCGCCAGCGGCGACGCATCCGCTTGCACTCCATGTAGAAGGTCACCCAGAGCAGGAGTCCGATCAGGGACAGAACTCCACCAAATAGATACCACACGAGCGGACTGAACGGCTGCAGGAACACATCACCGCGGAGGCCCGCGTTGTGTGGCGTGCGGAAGATGCAGACCGAGCGAAAGAAGCCAGTCTCAATGATGGCCGACAGATACTTGAGCCGCCCCTCCGTCGCCAGCGAGGGTGTGGCTGTGATGTCAGCCGTCTGGTCGACCACGGCGCCCACAGCTCCGCCAACCACATCTGATTTGCTCCAGCTGTCCACGAAGATGAACTTCATTTGGCAGTGCAACAGATCCCGAAGGATCAGAGTCAGATGAAAGCCGAATCGCGCCAGCGAGTCAATGTGTGTGTCGTTCTCCTGACTCAGAAACAAAACCAGTTGATCCTCCGACCAGTAGAGAGGACGTTGGGTCACCACCGTAGCCACTGGAGGAGAGAGAGTTAGTGTTTTGATGCCATCGCTCTTTTAGGACTTCCTACCTCTGAGCACCACATCCGTGAGCTGCTCCCGATTCCCGTACTTGGAACGTAGATGCAACGGGCTCAGGTATCGCATCCTCTGACAACCACTCAGGTCACAGCCGCAGGCATAGTTTGCCGTCAGATTCAGCTGGCCGCCAATGATCCTCCCATTGCTGTAGACATCGTAGGTGGCATAGACCACTGCAGAGGCATTGTAATCCGAGCTTGGAGGCTCCTCCTTCACGTAGCTAACATCGGCATCGATTGAAATGTTGAAGGGGGAGAAGAAATCGTAGAAACCCACTTCGGATTCATTCCCGTGCAGCAGCCAATGGTAATGCTGATTGTACAGCTGCTCCCGACTGGCCTTATATGAGAAATAATGAATGCCATGAATGTCCACATGATTTAGATATTGTTTCATGTGTCATGTACCTCCTCTAGTAATCCTGCTGCCTTGTGGCACTTCATATCTACATAGATCGCCAGAGTGGGCTGCAAATGGCCCAGGAATCGCAACTCCAGATCCTCCCAGTCCCGAACGGCGTGCATTTGCAGAAACTGATGGTAGATGAGGTGCTGATGGAGGGGCTTCATGAATTGCTGAGCAAAGTCCCGAACTACAAAGAAGGAAAAGTTATATATTTATAGAATATTATAGAATTCCCAATGAATGAGGGTTGCTTTCTTTCCCACTTTCATGTTGCTGCCAGCAATGAAAGAATAGAACGAAACCGATGCGCGACTGAACCAGATTGTCCAGCAGAAAGTTGGCCAATTGCACCTGCAGCTGCATTGTTTACTTTTACACGGTGGCCAGTGGCTGCTTCTTTTATAGGGGAGCCATTGTAGCCATTCTAGAGGAATCAATTTGCCTGTCAACAGCAGCCTTCACTTCAGTCGCTGTTTGTTCTAAAATTGCACCAATTTGCCTGCAAAAAAAAAATATATATATAAATGGTATTGACCTTGGTCTCACCTCAGTGGCGGAGAGCCGTGTGCCCGTGCCTGTGCCTGTGCCACAGCACCTCCAGGCCCAGTAGCCCCACACAAAGTACAATCGATCCCAGAAGCAGAATGAACAGGGGTGTAGCGTATTCCAGGCCCACGGCCACTGAGTGATTGTGCTGGTAGCAGTGGAGCTTGGTCCGCATCCAGTAGCGCTCGTGCTTGAAGTGGATCCCCGTCTCCAGCATTCGCAGCTCGCTGGAAATAGAGGGGATAGGCTTGGGAACACCTTAGTGGCTAGGAAACTAGGGTAATACTTTAATCTAAAGAGTTCCGCATAGGGGCAGGACTTCAGTACCACGGTGTGGGTGTGCGAGGCATCGCGTAGTGGTATCTCGTTCAGCTCACAGATCTGATGGGGCAGGAAGTACTTCCGCACAAACTCGTAGGCGGTGGCCGCCCCGGCAATGTAGACGAAGCCCGCGTTATCCCGCATCCGCTTGACACCCTCCTCGGTGGACATCCAGATGTGATCCGGCGATTGCTTGCTGCCTGCCACCTTGTTCAAGTACAGACTGTGGACGTCCGGCTGATCGGAGGTGGTCACGTAGACGAGCGTGTAGGGGGTCGGCTCTATGGCCACCTGCAGGCTGCTGTCCGCCAGCTGCTGGAGTGTGCGGATGCTCGACTTGGCCGGCCGCCCGAGCAGCTTGGACACCACGATCGACGTGTAGTAGTTGTACATCAGGAAGGAGGTAAGCATCAGTGCATAGAAAGCCATGCGGCCGCTCAAGGAGCGAGGTGTGAGCCAGGCCCCCTGAATGCAGCCAGCCCCAAAGGAGATCAGGCAGCTGGTCAGCAACGAGGGTCTCCATTCGCTCAGGCGTTCCATGCGGAAGGTCGCCCAGAGCATGCAGCCGGCCACAATCAGGAGCAGACCGAATGCCAGCCAGACACCGCCGCTGAAGGGCTGCAGGAACTCGGTGGCACTCAGGCCAGCCGACACCGATCGGGGGTTACGGAACATGCACACGTCGCGAAAGATACTGAACTTCGTGAGCGGCTTTATGAACAGCGCCCGATCAAAGGAGTAGATGAAGGGGGCTATCGACAGATCTGCCGCCTCGGTGATCAAGTCACCGATCATGCCACCCGACACGTTGCCATCGCCTGTCCAGCGGTCACGAAACATATACTCAAACCTTCAACAAAAAACCTTGTGGAAGATTGTGATTTTGTAAATTCAATCAATTCCCTACTTGCAGTCCAACATCTCTCGGAGTGGCTGGCGCGACTGGTAGCCCAGGCGGGCGTACGTATCGAGATGGATCCGGTCTCTGGTTTCCATGAAGCTGAGGATTATCTCTTGCGAGGTGTTCAGTGGCATGGAGTTGACCTTTGGATTGAATCAATATCAGTCTATCTGTTAAATCTGTCAAAGATCTTCACGCACCGCTGCAGTGGCTCTCATGATCATTCCAGTTAGGGACTTCCGATGCTGCAGTCGATCTCTCGTATGAAGATCACTGAGATAGCGCTGGACGCGGCACTCCAGCTCATGGCAAACGATTTCCTGGTCCACGGTGATGTTCAGCTCTCCACCCAACTGCCTGCCCTTGTTGTGCAGATCGTAGAGAGTGAAGAGGGCTCTGCTGGTGGGCTCGAGATCACCTATGGCATAGGTCACATCAGCATCGACAAAGAGTTGGGCTCTGCTGAAGAGAGTCTCCATTCGGGAGAGACCCGGCAGGCGATCGTAAATGAGCCAGTGATACCGATGGCTAAAGAGTTTCCTGTCGCTGGCCTGTCCATGGGATAACATATGTACAAATCAGATTAATCATACTACGATTATTCTCCAGATTCATGTAATACTTGCCATCTGTAAAACAGTCTCGCTTTGACCGCAATTGCTGTCCATGAAGACGCCCAACCTGAGGATACTGTGACTCAGGAGCTGGTCTTCAAGTGGAGTTTTCGTGTTGAGGTCCTCGAATTGAGTGAAGACATTTCCCGTGTTGGCTACGAGTGCAAAGTGTGCCAGGGCTGCGGGTACAGAGATGCAGAGATATTAATTAAAGAAGCAACTGACTGATGTGGTCCGATCGGATCTGATCTGATCTGAGGAATACTCACACTCCCCTGACCAACAATGCAGTACCAGGACATGGTTTATCTTGGCCATGTGCAAAATATTATACAATATGAAACTGTGCAATTCCCACATTTCTATATCTTATTGATATTATTTCAAAAGAGAACCAGAACTAGACCAGAAATAATGATGCAGATTACGATGCCACAGGGGTTTATATATGGGCCCAAGCATAATGCGACATAATCAATCCATCAATCCATCAACAATCAACCGCGGAATAACCCCTCCTACGGGTACATTCAACTGATTTATGGAATGATATTTACTGGCGATTTTAGTGGCTTTTTTTACACTCGGAAAAAAATTAAATAGCAAAAAGAAATACACCCATAATTAAATCAAATATTCTAGTTTTAAAGGAAAAACAGAAAAATTAAATAGAATCTACTTTGTTTATAACATAAATGTAAAGAGTTAATTAAACATTAATTAAGCATTAAAATAAAAATCAAAGTGTAAGCATTCGCTTCTCGGGCCGTTTTTCTCTGGGAGGGGAGGTGTACAATCAAAAGTATGGAAAGTAGTTGTCATATGCCCCCCAAATCAGAATCAGTCATCGCTCCTACATGAACTTGACAATTGACAACTTAATGGGAATAGAAATGGGTCTGAGTATACTCGTAGAATACAAAATTGAGCCACTGACACTGACAGGCAATGGTAAATCGGTCACTTATGGATTATGGATTAGCATGGAATAATAGCCGGATACGGCAGATTAAATTTAAGGTAAGGTATGGATATCCGCCCCTACTTACCCGATTAAATATAATGATTATTCGCTTATTCGTTGCTTCTTCACTGCTCCTGGGGCAAGAGACAGCTCTGCCTCTCGGTACTCTTCCAAGCCACTTCCAGAAGTAGAACCAGTATAGCCATGGAGTAGCCTCCCAATAGGGATAGAAACAGTGGTGCAGCGTACTCCATTCCCACCTGGATCACGAAGCTGTTGGAGTAGGTCTGCAGCCTCGTTTTGCTGAAGAAGCGCCGCTGCTTCGAGGTGAGGCCGCACTCCACGAGGCGCACCTCCAGCTGGGTGATAAGCTCTCGATAGGAGCTGTTCAGGTGGATCATGTGGTAGACGGTGCCCTCGTGCCGCAGCATGATCTCGTTGAGGTCGGAGATCTCCCGGGGAAGGTAGTGCTTCTCCACATGGTGGTAAATGAAGGATCCCTCCGAGATGTACACGAACCCGGGCTGATCGCGCACCTTGAGGACCCCCTCCTCAGGCCCATACCAGACGGTGCTTTGATCCCGCTTGCTCTCCACCTTCTGTCTGTAGAGACTGCGTATGTCCGGACGGGGCGAGGACTGTCGAAGATCTTTTTAATACAGGGACTCCAAAAAATAGATAGCTTACCGTCAGGTAGGCCTTGGTGAATGGCACATTATCGATGCCCACGTCCAGGGAGCTGTCCGCCAGCTGTTGCACGGTCCTTATGTTGGAGCGCACTGGCGATCCGAGGAGTGTGGACACCACAATCGATGTGTAGTAGTTGTACATGAGGAAGGAGGTCAGCATGACGGCGATGAATGCCAGTCTGCCGCCCGTGGACTTGGGCAGCAAGTGGGAGCCCTGTATGCAGGCAGCCCCGAAGCTGATCTGGCAGCTGGTGAGCAGGGAGGGCACAAAGTCCAGGCACCGCTGCATCCCGTGCTGCTCCAGGCGAAATATTAGCCACAGCAGGCACCCGGAGAGGACTAGCAGTGCCCCAAAGGCCAGCCAGACGCTGGGCATGAAGGGCTCTAGGAACACGGTCGCCTTGATCCCAGCATTGTGCGGCGTACGGAATATACAAACAGCTCGAAACTCGGCCAGCTCCACCATGGGATGGACATAGTGAATGCGGTTCCACGTCGGAATGAAGGGAGAGGAGCACAGCTCCACCGACTCATTGCCCAGCAGGCCTATGGCTCCGCCAAATGCATCCTGGATGCTCCAGTCACCCACCCAAGTGAAGCTCAAGCTGAAAACTTCAAGCTGGTAACTTCTTGGTGAAGAAAGGCAAGAACTCAGACCAGAGCTTACTTGAAATGTAGCAAGTCCTGCATGTGAAGGATGAGGCGATAGCCCAGGCGGGAAATCGAGTCCAAGTGGGCATCCTCTTCGCCGCTCAGGAACCGCATAAGAATCTCCTCCTTCGAAGTGAGTGGCATCACGGACACCTGCAGGGATATATATGTAAATAAATAAATATATTGAAATACTCGTGGTACGCTCCTACCAAGGCAGCCATTCGAAAGGTGATGTTGGTCAAGTCCATGCGCTGCTGCAGCCTGGTCCGCTCATGCAGATCGCTGAGGTAGTCCCTGATCCTGCAGTCGGTACGACTGCACTGGATACTCTGGTCAATAGTCACGTTGAGCCTGCCCCCCAAGTGGCTGCCCTTGCTGTAGACATCATGCAACACAAAGAGTTCTTCCTCCTCGTCCGTTGCTTCCCCCTCCCGCGGCTCGATGTAGGTCACATCGGCATCCAGGCTGATGTTGGCACGGACAAAGAGTTCGGCCAGATTCGTGAGGTTACCCATTTCATCGAATAGCAGCCAATGGAAGCGACGGTTATAGAGTCGGGCGCGACTGGACTGCATGCAATAGAGGGATTCAGTCCTTTTCTGTGAGAATCAAAGGCCAGCCACTTACCTGGTTTGTAAGAAGAGCAGCCTGCGGGCAGCCCAAGTCAAGGAACACACCCATTTTGGTGATATCGCTGTCCAAGTAGTCCTTGTGTATGTTGGCCAGGCCAGCATCCTGTTGCAGTTGAATATATTGCGAATAGATGTGGCTCTCACTCATCATCCCAGCCAGAGGATAGGCCTCTTGGAAATTAAGAAATGGAAATATAAACATAAATAATAGGGCCACCTCCCGGGGGCTTACCCGGCTCCGACCAGCAGTGGAACACTAAGACATCCCTCAAATTGATTTCCAGCAAATTGAACACCAGCAGACGATACAGAGCCAAATGTGTCATCTTATTCAGAACGATTCTCCGGACTGCTGACCTGGCCCTTTTATAGCCCCCAGTTTTCGGGGTTTTGCTGCCCAAAAGGGGGTCCAATTAAGTCATTTAGGCCTTCAAGTTTTGTTTCAGTTTTGATTGACAGGACGGTCAATTTTCGGGTATACCAATTGCCAAAAAAATTCAGAAGCAAAAGTCCAACAGGTGTCCCCATAAAATGGGGTGGGGAGCAGGACTCGCACTCGCACTGGCACTCGGACTGGCACTCGCAGGGCGCCTGCGCAGGCCTGGGGGCAACGTAAACAAAAGTGCAAGTTGGATTTATGAATGAAAAGCCAGAAAAGCGGACGGATGGGACAGGGCACCCCTCCTGGTGCTAATGGATTCCTGAGCCGCGTCGGGAGGGTGTGTGGTGAGGGCAGCGCCGCTGGCTCTAGTGATTTTGCGCCTTTTGCATGTCCATGCTCATGTCCATGAGTGTGTGTCTGTCGGCGTCGGTGTCGGTGTCGGTGTCGCTGTCGGTGTCGCTGTTTGTGCCCCATGCTTTGGGATATCCTGCCACAACGCAGCAGCACCATTCAATCTTCAGGCCAGGCATCGCTCTGCTCCCAATATCGTTTCGTGTCGGCTTGGCTCAGATTCAGTTTGCGTTGCGCGCTTGGCGCGTCTCGACGTACATCTAACTCTCCTCTCTCCGGCACGGTCCTAAGGATTCCTTTCCTTTCGATTCCGTTATGTTTTGTTTGATTGGTTTATTTTTGTTGACGGTAAAAAAGGCTCGGGGCACTCCAGCCCCCCAATGCCAGAAAGAACCCACAATCGCATGGAGTACTCGTGTTTTTGGGAAAAGCTCTTCCAAGTAATAAGTGGACTAAAATCAAAAACGTGTGAAAGTGAAATTAACTACAATTTATGCCTGCTGAAATCTGTTTTTTATAGTTTCTAAAACTAATATATCCGGAATGAAATAAATAAAATAAACAAAAATGGAGTAAAATCCAAATCATGTGAACGTGATTTTCCACTAAAAAAGAATTAAATGATTTTTGAATGCTTTAAATATTTTGCATTGGTTTTAAATCGAATTGAATACGAATTTTTTCATTAAATTTTGTTCAGTGTTTAGTGGTTTGTGCTTTGGAGAAATTAAGAACTTTACTTAATTTTCCACTCGATACAAATATTTCGAGCTATGAAAAGTGAGCAAAAGTTTCCTTTTCGAAATTCTGCGAATTGCAGAATGAAAAATGTGCTATCGTGGAGCCCAAAAATATTTTCGAATTTTTATATTACATTTTGAAGCAATAATCTATGCAAAGCGTAATGGGCATTTCAATTTTTTTATAGGGAATTTAAAATGAAAGGTGTATTGCGTAATAAGCTCATAACTCATTTGAATTCCCACCTCTTCTAATGGAGCCATCCAGGCGTATACGTAATTTTCACTCAATCCGAGCGACAGAGACAGAGAGGGAGAGGGAGAGGGAGAGCTGTACCGTCCGCCCAGCTGTTGAAAATCGCATAAAAGTTTGATTATCACAAACATAAATCCGTTTGTTCCTCTAAACCATTCAAATGCTGCTCGGCATCTAATTGAACTGTCAAACTATAATTGCCTCCATCCTCCCCCCAACCCCATCCTGCAGCCACCACCTCTACCTCCGCGTCACCAGCCACAGCTACGGCTCTACCGCCCCCATCCATCGACTGGACTGGCAGCAATTAAACTGTCTAAATCAACTTAATTAACAGGGCCTGTGCAAATAATTCGAAATAAAATGTATTCCCAACAAAATAAATCAGTCTCTCTGTCGAACCTTTTATAAATAAATTTCGAGAAACAAACCCCAAATGGATATATTAAAAATCAATTGAACTGCGGTCCAATGAGAAATTCACACAAGCCGCAAATATGGCATTTGTCGTTGGGGAACGGATGCTGCACTGCAGAAATAGAGTGCAAATAAAATGCAATTATCGCTGATTTAAACGGGCATTAGAGACTTATAAATTTACCATGAGCTCCGCTTTCCCCCCAATGCTCACATGCCCAGAGAGTGAGAGATTGAGAGGGGTTTCTGGTCGCCAGAGGATTTTCTGGTCAACCAACAGAACGAATTATTAACAAAAACTATTTACTAAGGGAGTTGATTGGGGACACCAGATGAGCATAGAGCTGGGGAGCTGACTGGGGTACAAATAACTGGTTGTAAAAACAAAACAGAAGCTGCGCGGCGAAAGCGTAAAGCGATTTTCCATACATCATGGAGATTTCAATTTTTATCCCATGAACTGTTGGTTTTTAATTAAATTGACAAATATCTGCCAACACAAGAGGGGTAAACAGGTAAATTTCCAGGGCTAGGGTACGACAAAGATTATTATTATCTGCGACTCTAAAGGGGACAAATTTGAGCAAATTAAAGTGCCATTTCCCACTACCTATTCTATTCGAAAGAAGTCTGTCTATCTTTTTTTTGGGGCATCTATCATTAAAATACCGCTCCATTCGAATGGAGCATTCTCCAGTCTCCATTCTCCAGTTCGCTTCATTAGTTCATAGTTTTAAATTCCGACCGCAACATAAGGCGCTGTTTGTAGTACTTCTTGTTCTCTGGCCATCTTTTTGCCTTTGAAGGGACCTCAGACCTTGTATTTTTTTTTTTTCGGCAGATTCAGATTTTTTTTCGTTGACGCCGCGCCGCTTAACGGTACAAAAAACATCTCTCAAATAGAAAAAATGCAAAGCACAAAAAGCAGCGGCAGCTGTTGGGGCATCGCACTCTTGAGATTTACATTGTAAAGTGATCCGGCGGTCCTCCTCCTTCCGGATATACATATACATATACATATACATATACACTATATGTATGTATGTATAGTAGATGCATTTAAATTAATTGAATTTTGTAGATTTTTTTGTTGTGTGTCGAAGGGCCTGCGAGCAAAGCTGTGAGCTGGGGCTGGGCTTGGGGCTGTGGCTGGAACTGGGGCTAGGGCTGGGCCTTCTATTGCTCTTATTGGATTGGTTTGGGTTTGGGTTTGGGTTTGGGTCTGGGGTTTGGGGACCTGCCAGTTGACCCACAAGTCAAGTTTGCGGCGTGTCTGGGAGGGCCGGGCCGGGCCGGGCAGGACAGGGCCCCCCAGAAGTTTACTTAAGCGTCGTCCGAATGCATTTTGTGTGTGTGATTATAGCACGAGGGAGGCTGTGGGCCACCAACTGCGTTTCTGGCTTTTTCATTTTCCGATCTTTTTTTGTTCTGTTGGCTTGCATTTGCGTTCATTAAATTTGCAAGTAAGTTGAAACGTTTTTGTTTACAACTGCTTTCTATGCTGCTGCCCGTGCTGGTGTCTAGGCTGTGTCCAAATGGACTTTCTGGAAATTATACATGAGCCTGGGCACCGCATTGGAGTGCAGGAACGGCTTTGTTTTCAATTGGTCCAGTCCCAAGGATTCTTTGGGACTCAATCATTCAAGGCCCCAATTTGTCTACATTTGAGTTTTTCCCACTGTTTCCATCAAAAGTGTGCGCTTCCAATCGAAACTTTGTGATTTTCCGAGTATCCTTGGATTTTAAATGATTTTAATCCGGCAATTCTTTAGTTTAGAACTGCACGCAGATTCTGCTGCTGCTCTGATTCAGAAATCGTGTATGCGGATATCAATGGAATGGATTTTGAATTAGCTCCATTCCTTGAGTGTCCTCGAAATGAGGCGCTGGAACAAGTGAACCCACTTAGCAGAGACAAGTGCAAACATTTGTGCATTATAATGCCCCAGCCCAGCCCAGGCCGGGACAGATCCGTCGGAAGCGATTCAGTTGCATTTCACGCTTGCCTAATCCTCGCCAGCTCTCCTTTCGGTAAACATTTCCGCAGAACGTGAGCCAGTTAGGGGGGCATGGGGCATGGGGCATGGGGCACGGGGCATGGGAAGACCGGAAGGAGGGAGAGTGGTTTGCTGGATTCTGGGTACGAGGGCACGTGCCTGTCGCTCAACTGTGAAATAATTAGAACAATTGCATTGGCCTTAGGCCATAAAGTTCGCAGTGGGGCAAGCCGCAAAAGCGAATGACATTTTTGACTTGCATTTAATTAAATTGTGATTTTTAATTCTACTTAAGTTAACTGGAAAACTTGCGGTTTAGCTCTTGCCCCTACCCCTGCCCCTACCCCTGCCCCTGCCCCTGCCCCAGACACTGTCAATCCAATTTCCACACGCAAGGCGCACAAAGAACGTGAATTCCAAGTTCTTATATAAAACTGTAGAGGCTGTAGAAGTGGCACTGGGGGGGAGGGGCAAAGAGCAAGTAATAATGCCAGCAGTCGCCGACGACTTGCCATATAAACCACCTGCTGCTGCTGCTGGATGCTGCCACTAAATATAGAGGGAGCATTACTCCGTAATGCACGAGCAGAGCAGATATCCGCCGTATAGGCGGCAGATGCCTGCCACATCAACAGAAGAGCAGAAGAACAGAAGCACAGAAGCACAGAAGAAGGATCTGTTTATGCGGCACTCGGAATACCCTTTTTCTCAGCCCTTGCTGATATCTGTACTAAGCAAGATGTTTTTACAGAAACTCCAGGCAAAGATCAAGTTTAGTACTTCCTTTTTGCGGGGAGCCCCTGCCCTCCATCAGATCCTAATGACTTTTCCTACTTCACCTTGGGCCCCAGTACGAGTACTATGAGTCTTCCATCAAATTACAATCAATCATCGCAAATTGGCTGACAGTCTCATGACACCCTCCGCATACCCTCTCCATGCCACGTGGGCGCCTCACGCCGACGCCTCCTAACAATGCATTTCCACCAAAAAAAGAAAAGGAAAACGAAATATTACTTAGATGCGGACGCGGACACTGACGCGGAGTAGGACTGGGAGGCAAGAACGTTAGCAGGAAGGAGGACGAGGAATAGGAAGAGGAAGGCCCGTCAGCAGCCTTCAAAAATTGAGTGCAATTTCGACGACGTTGATGAGAAAATGCGTTGAACGTGCTCAAGTTGTTCTCTCTGTTGTCGTGGTCTGCCCACGGGGCGCGGGGTATGCGGGGTATGCGGGCTATGCGGGGGACTCCCGAGAGGGGACTCCTTCCACATTTAACTTTAACCCGTTCTCGAACCAGTTAACAAAAGACGAAGGGCGGAGGAGAGCAAAGCCAGAAATTAGAAGCAAAGATGATGCCCCAAAGATCGAGGGGGCGGGCGGGCCATAGAGGATGTTTGTGCTTGTGGCAGCAATTTGTTCGTTTGACGAAACTCAGAAGCCGTCAGAGGCACACAAAGCAGAAGGATATTCAAGAGAAAACGCTATCCAACGCTAGTATGTGGCTCTTATTTCAGACTGGACAGCAGCCAAAATGTATCTGCTATCCGCTCTCTGGGCTAATTTATGTGGCAAGGCTGAGATAATATTGCCGGGCAAGCAAGAGTGTATCCTCATTAAAGATCGAGTTATGGGAACAAGACCCAAACATTGGGGCGAAGTTGGGGGTTCTAAAAGTTCTTTGAATGACATCCTACGAGAATGCCACGAATCCTTAGCTGGAAGATTCTTTTGATAGATCCATTTCCAGCTTCCTGTCAGCCATCTCAAAGCTCTTCTGAATTAGATTTCCCCCTTCTCGGTCTCTCAATGCAGTATCCCATGTGACAAATCGACTAAAAATAATGGAAATTCCCTTTGGGCCTGGTCGAACACAAGCCAAAACCATAATTAGCATACACAAGCGTCCAATCAAGTGGCAAGTAGCATTGACGTCGAGGCTGTGGCTGCTGCAGATGCAGCGTCTCCGATAGGAGACGGCCGACTCGAAGGCAACGTTCAAGAGGCCACAGGAGGCCACTCCAAGTATTGAAAATAGGTATCGCAACCTGATGCGGATGTGGCTGCAGATGCAAATGTGGCTGGAGATGGGTGTCGGCATTGGCCATGCATAAAATTAGGTTAGTGGGTGAGACATAATTAAGTAATGGGGTCGGTCTTTCTTCTATTCTTCTCCTTTTTGCATAATTATATGAGACGTTGTCTGTCCCGGCCCGGCCCGGCCCGGCCCGGCCTCGATGCCAGTCGCCTCAGCCGTCAGCACTGTGTACCGACCAGGGCCTTTGACTTTGGCTTCCGCCGTTGACTTTTCATTAACGTATCATCCGGCTAACCGACTGGCTGACTGATGACTGGTGGGACTGGCTGACTGGCTGCCTGGCTGCCGTGCAGATTCCTCTGGACTCTCTATCATCTTGGCTCTTAATAACCTGCCATCAATTGTGGGGAGCCTTCGGCGAAGATTAATAAGTACAAGGCTTCCTTTTCCTGAGGGCTGAGGTCTATTAATCGCTGCCTGGACCTGGACCCAGACGGTGCAATATTTTACAATAATACCAAATTGCGCATACGCCGTGTGGTAAAGTGTTGACTGCAGAAACTGTACCTGTACCTGTTCGTTTAAGCTAGCCAAACGATATACAATCTCTGATGACAGCTTATGATAGCTGATGTTGGCTGATGTTAGCTGAAGAATGCCGCTGGCTAATTGGCCAATCAACAAACTGCCAGCTGCCAAGCCCAAGAAGTTCAAACAATTAGAAAAAAAAGCCGAGCAGTGGCGGCGATTGCTCGGGACGGAACAAGACAAACGGAACTAATGCCAGCCCAAAAGGACCCTCAGAAATTAAGAAGAAAACGCTCGGCTCGAGTGCAACTTCCGGGTGCATAAATGAGAACAAATACGAGGCCAAGCAGAGCACAGGAAAAGCCAAGAAGTCCTGTCAGCAGCAGCAGCAGCAGCAGCAAGTGCTGGACAGTGGCAGGGAGCAGGGAGCAGGAACCAGTTAGAGCGACAAATGCTGGACAAACGGATGTCCAGATTAGGCCACAAGCAGCCGAAGCAACAGAAGACTAAACAATAGTTCCAGCAACAAGCTAAACCATTAAACAAACAGCAAACAAAAACCAAACAATATGTGCACAACGGCAGCATCCGGCGATGGCGATGGCGATGCATCCACTGACCTCATCAAGGACGGGGTGGGAATGAACAGGGGCAGGAGCCGGGCTCCCAGGATCGGAGTGCCCCCCTCCTGCCAAGGACACCGCTTAAACTTGCGCATATTTAAACTTTTGATTAGCTGCTGCGTTTTAATGCTCAGCATTTACACAAATGCCTGGCACTTGTCCATCAGTCCCGGCTCCGGCTCCGTCTGGGTCATGGCCGGCAGCATCAAGGGACGCGGTGACGCCCATCGTCTCGATGAGCTGGGCTCCATGGCCCACACCGCCTCCTCCTCCTCCTCGCTGATGTCGGCCTGGCTAACCCAAAGCAATAACCATGCAAATATCTCCGAGCTACTGGACAATCTGCTGCGTGGATATGACAATAGCATACGTCCGGATTTTGGTGGTGAGTAGTACTAGTACAGAAGGGGACCGGAAAGGGAAGCAATATTCCATCAAGAGCGTTGGCGGCGAAGGGATTAGCTATAGATCTCGGTTTTCGATTAATATCCATGCCCAAATAGCACGTGCTGCTTCTGCAGTACGCACTGGGTGTACGCGCAGTGTACTCGTATTGACCATTCCCTTGGCAGTTGCGTAGCCCCGCAGCAGAGAAGATTCCCCTGGCGTTCCCCCCACACATGAAGGCGAACGAAACGGGACCGTGTGACCGCATAGCCGCGCCACGTATCAGGACTGGGTTTCCTTATTTATGCGTACAATAATATGTTTATACGTATATACACTTACATCAAATAAATAATACACTTGTAACACTTCACTTGCACTTATTAATGCATTTTTCCTCCGTCGATCTGTCTTTTTGATTACCAAATTTGTGTGGCACAGTTTTTGAATATTTTCCATTTCCTAATTCTCAATGCCCAAACGCAAAGCGGACTAGAAAACGCACGCCTGGACCGAGTGATGATGAAATTTTGAAAGGTGGTCCGCCAACTCCCTTTCTTATTTTACTCTCAGCACTACTAAGAGCGCTTTAATGTCATGTTCGACGAGAGAGAGAAGTGCGAAGAGCGCGCTGAGGTAGCCGACCACCTTGCATAATTTCATCATGGTGACAGCGTGAGAGCGATGCAGATGCGTATGCGTAGGTGGATTAGTGGCTCGCTCTGTCGCCATCCATGCTCTCTTTCTGATCCGCTTCCTAATTGCTCGCTCAATGGAATTGACTTGTTCTCTCCCTCTCCTACTTCCATGGAGTGAATGCTTGTGCATTTGGAAGTTTGTTGGTATGTGCAGTGTAGAGCGAGAGAGTGCTGCGAGAGAGGAGAAGAAGACGGGTAATGCAATGAGAGAGCATGGAAGCGGCTCAGGAGAGCATGGAATAGAAGTTAATAGAGCTGAGCACTCGCATCTCTACTGCTCATATATGCGTTTTATTTGCCTTTGATCACAAAAAAGGGCCGATGTTTTGTCCCTTTCACACCTAAGCATTTAATTGACGCAGAGCAGTGGCAGTTGCTCCTGTCCTGGCGCTCGATCAATGGTCTTTCAGAGATACTCCCCGTAAGAGATGTCATGCTTACACCCTTTTTGGTAACTTCTTCCCACCTTGGCCCCTGCCTCCCCCTGTAATCAGCATAGATTCGCAGATTTTCCGCTCAACGGAAGCATTTAATGAAGCGGAAATCGCTGCCAGGCGACACATCACTCACAGACGGCTCCAAGGTGATGTGGATGCCCCTGCTAGATGCTGCCGATGATTGCCTCCCGGCCCTTGGGTAAATAGTTAGTGTCAAAACCGACAAATATTTACAGGCAAACATTTCGTATTACGTTTGCGTCTCTCCTTTTCCTTCTCCAGCCCCCAGCCACCAGCCCCCAGCCCTCAGGACTTGTCCAAATTGATGGGCCTTCGAGGCTCGGGTCCCGCCCCCTCCCCCCAATCACCCTCCTTTTCAATCTGGCAAATGGTCGACGCAATAAAAATTTAAATATCTATCTTGGATATTTAAAATACTTACTTACCATCCATCCAGATGGCAAATGGGTAAATGGTAAATGGCAGGCGGTGCGGGGCTTAACGCGATTTTGGTTTACGCGGCGAAAATTGTGTTCGCGCAACGGCTTAAGACCAAATTACATTGTTTTTAACACTTCATTAAGAATGGGCCGTGGGCCGTGGGCCGTGGGCTGGGGGCTGGGGGCTGGTATAGCCGTTCCACCGCTCTGCAGCGATTCAAAGGATACGCGGCAATGCACATCCGCTTCCTGTGACGCATGTGTGTTTGCCCAGCCAGCGCAGCAGCTGGGCAAAGTCATTAAAAACTGTTCGCCTAGGCAAAATATAAAAAAATCATATATGTATGTATGCAGTGCGATCCGGGACCTAAAAAATTGCATATTAGTGCAGAAAAGCTAGATAAAGAGGGATAAAGGGGGAGGGGTTCCAGGGTATGGGCATGGGACTGTCTGCCGAGCGGCTTAAGTGTCATTGTTCACACAGAGAGAGAGAGAGGGAGGGAGAGAGGGAGAGAGAGAGAGGCACATTTAACATTTTCATTTAGGGCCCCACCCATGAATATTCATAGTTTTTATCCAAAAAGAGAGGCATCGTATACTTACTTTAGTGCTATGCTGCTCATGATCCCCTTTTTAGCAGCGGAAACAGTCGGGGGACTTGGGATGGGATAAAAATGTATATTTAAATTGATAAATCGATACCTTTTACGTTTATAGGACCACCAGCCACTGTAGAAGTGGACATAATGGTTCGAAGTATGGGACCAATATCAGAAGTCGATATGGTAAGTGAATCCTACAAAAGAATCGTAAATCTCTTAAGTCTATAGTCTATAATCAATACCTTTTTGACCTTCATTGATCGAAAGTCAAGGAGAAAGAATCAGAGAGAGTGAAGCGAGTCAACATTGCATTCCCCTCTGCTCTGCTCCTAACAAATCAATTTGCATCCACCATTTACCATCCTACAGCTCAGCTTTTCCTTTCCTTTCTTTTCTTTTCTTTCTTATATAACTGATTTTCCCGTTGGTTTGTCTCTGCTTCCGTCACCGTCTCCATTGCAGACCTACTCAATGGATTGTTATTTTCGCCAATCCTGGGTGGATAAACGTCTCGCATTCGAAGGCGCCCAGGACACGCTGGCGTTGAGCGTCTCGATGCTGAAGCGGATATGGAAGCCGGATACGTACTTTTACAATGGCAAGCAGAGCTATTTACACACGATTACCACGCCGAACAAGTTTGTGCGGATCTACCAGAACGGACGCGTCCTGTACTCCAGCCGTCTGACAATTAAAGCCGGCTGCCCCATGAATCTGGCCGACTTTCCCATGGACATACAGAAGTGTCCTCTGAAATTTGGCTCATGTGAGTATCCCCCAAAACCAGACCCAGCCCCAGTCCCAGCCCGCAGAGGAGATGGTGGTGCCGCAAAGGGTTCAGTGGTGCTGTGTGAGACTTTTGTTTTATAGCATAATTATGCATAATTGCTGCTTGTTGGCGCTTTGATGTGATTTGTTCTCGCTGCTTGGCTGCTTGGCTGCTTGGCTGCTTCTTAGGCAAAAGTCCCCGCTGGCTCTATTGTTGGCCACTTGTTGGGACTCGAGGACATGCGGCAAGGACCACACGGCACATATGGATCACATCATATGCGGGGATAGTACTTACTCGTCTGTGTGTGTGGGTGGGTGGGGGGGTACTACGAGTACCAGTATGCTGAATGCCATGACATTGCAATGGATTGGATTGGATTGGATTGAATTGGCGACAAGAAATGTGAAGTGAAATGGCTTTGAAATGAACAAAGAGAAGGGGCGGCGGGGCGGGTATTGAAGTAGTTGCCAAGGAATTAGTTTAACAAAGGAGCCACGGATAAGATATACTTGGAGATAGACCCCCCTTTGAGTATATAAATATTCTGGATTTTTGGCAGAATTTCATTTTGCTTGCTTGCTTAAAGCCACACAGTTTTTATTTTTAATTAAAGAAATAATAATTCTAGCAATAAATCTTTCAAGCAACCTGCAATCAGGCCGAAATTACCATACATATTCCCTGTTACGTTGTCGCCTCCCTAACCTTTTGACCTGTTCTGTCCTGTTCTGTTCTTGCTCTCCGTGCGCCTGACATTTTCATTATTCCATTCTCGCAACAACAACAAAAATACAGTCATTTTGATGAATTTTCATCACATTTCCTCTGGCATTCATATGCTAAATGGAAAATCTACAGAAAAAAGGCATCTTTGAAGCTACAAATCTACTATTTAAATATTTTTGGCAACAATTTGGGTTGTTCCACCCATCCAGCGCCTTCCGTTCTCCCTTTCCTTACTTTCCTTCTACTAACTGCCTTTGGAGCTTATCGCAAATGAACAATCCTCTCGGTGCTGCTTCTCCTGCTCCATCTTCCCGCCTAGAAATGTATTATTACTTCCGATTTCTTGTGAATAATGTTGGATGCAGTCAAGAATTCAATTACCCCCCTCTCTGGCGGCAATCTCTTCCCCTTCATCCTTGCCCCTGCCACATTGCCTGCCACTTAATGTTGACAATTTCCCATTCGATTTGGGGAGCGGGACGTGGGGCCCAAGAGTATATGCGGATTGGTGTCGGGGGAGGGGCTGGGGGTCCAGGTAAACCATTCAAATGGTATGGCCCCCACAGATGGCGCAATGTTTGGCAATTTGTGCATTTTGGAGAAGCAGCAAAATAAAATAGCGCCACATACGTGTGAGAGTGATAGATTTGGTGGAGAAGGCGAGTGGGAGAGGAGGAGTGGAGGAGAGGTGGAGGTTAGAGGAGATAGCAGTAGAGAGCAAAGGAGTGGGGTCCTGTGAATGATTGGATACCAGAGATGCTCAGATTCCGGTAAAGAGTACTCGTTACACAGTAGCTCCACTGAGGCTCCATGGCAGTGCAAGCTGTGAGGAGAGTGACAGCTAAGTACTACACCCAGAGAAAAAAGCACTGAAATTGTTACATTTCCACCTAGATGAATATATTTCCATTCAATACGTACGTTTACGTTTATCTCACTAACCCAGTGGAAATTTTAAAAGTACATTTCTTCATTTATACCAATATATGAACATATGTTTTTAATTTGAATATATTTCGTATTTAAATTAAACATTTTTCTATTTAAATCAAACATTTTTCTATTCAAACAAAATATATTTTCTACAAATTAAACATATTATGTTTATTTTAAAATGTTTTACATTTTGATTAAATGAACAAATTTTTTAATAACTTTATGCTTAAATCAAAAAAAAATCAAATTTATTCCGAGTGGTTTTTCACTTCCCTTTTTCTCTGAGTGTAGAAAATACAAAGTAAAGTTGCTCCCCTTAAAGCTTTAAAAAAACTAAAATCACATTTTTAGAAATTTTATTCAACTCACGTAAAAATCACCAAAAATCACTGGTCCCCTGCATTGCCACTGAACTCTGCCTGACACCACCACCACCAGCACCACCAGCACCACCCACTTCGCTTAATTGACATTTTGGGCGGAATCACAAATCGAATCGAAACGAAACGAAACACTTCCCCGTTAACAAAAATAAACAAAAAACAGTTGGCTACACCACGTCCGATGTCATCTATCGGTGGAACAAGGAGCGCCCGGCCGTCGCCATAGCGGAGGACATGAAGTTGTCCCAGTTCGATTTGGTCGACTGTCCGGCTGGCAATTTGACGGATATTGTGTATAAGGCGGCGGCACCGACGCCGCCGCAACGGCCCTACAACAACAAGGACCTGTCCCACGCAGGACGGCCCAAGCCGACCGGCAAGACGCTGACCACATTCGCGGGACCAGGGGCAAAGAATCAGCACGTGCGCGGCACCGGACTGAAGCTGGACAAGGGTGCCTTTGGGACGGGACGCGACGCGGCCGGGGCACCGCCCACCAATGTGGGGAGCATCACCCTGGAGACGCACCATCCATGTAGGTCCATGTGGGATAGCGGCAAAACGGGGGAGGGACTCCCCGCTCTAACCTGTGTATATTCTCTGCTCTGCTTGCAGCGGAGTACTCCATGCTGATGGTGAACTTTCACCTGCAGCGGCACATGGGAAACTTCCTCATCCAGGTGTACGGGCCCTGCTGCCTGCTGGTGGTCCTCAGCTGGGTCTCCTTCTGGCTGAACCGGGAGGCCACCGCGGACAGGGTGTCGCTGGGCATCACCACGGTGCTGACGATGACCTTCCTCGGACTGGAGGCGCGCACCGACCTGCCCAAGGTGCCGTATCCGACGGCCCTTGACTTTTTTGTGTTCCTCTCGTTCGCCTTCATCTTCGCCACGATCCTGCAGTTCGCCGTGGTCCACTACTTCACCAAATATGGCTCCGGCGAGTGCTACTTCATCATCGAGGAGATGGACTCCGACTCGGCCGAAACGGAGACGGAAGCCCCCTCCGATTTCCGGGACAGCACCGAGTCCAAGATCTACGAGGTGATACCCCTCTCCATGTGCACCATCGACATGCACCCCCCCTCCGCGGGCAGCAGTCGCCTCGGCATGCTGTCCTCCAAGCGTGGCGCCACACGCAACCGCCGTCACGTACCGTGGACACTAAAGCTCCCCAGCTGCTTCGACTGGCGGCGAAGGATGACCCCACACACGCACTCGCACTACTCCTCCTCCGACGAGGAGGAGGACGACGAACAGACCCAGCTGAGGGCTCACGAGGCGGGACCCTCCACATCCGCAGCGGCAGCCGCGGCCGCAGCAGCAGCGGCAGCCGCGGCGGCGGCGGCAACAGCCGCCCAAAGCAGTCCGCCCCATGTGGGCCGCCGACGGATGTCCTACTACCGGCGCGAAGAGATGGAGGCACGCCGCAAGGGTAAGCGCACGCCGCAGTACAACTCCGTCTCGAAGATCGATCGCGCCTCGCGCATCGTCTTCCCGCTGCTGTTCTTCCTGATCAATGTGTTCTACTGGTACGGCTACCTGTCCAGGAGCGCCCGCATCCTGGCCAACACGCAACCGAGCACCTGATGTTACCTTTTAGCAATTTAGACAGAGTCCTCGAAGAAATCTACAAAGCGATTCAGGAAGCAGACTCATGAACTAAGAGCTGGAGATGGAGATGGAAATGGAGACGGAGACGGAGATGCCTAATGGGTGCCCATTACGAACACGAACACGAACACGAATGGTAATGGTAATGGTAATGGGAATGGAGATCGGCAGGAGGTTATTTTGTATATCGGTTCAGATTCAGTTTTCGCTCTTATTCTGATTTGCTACAGACAGAAGACAACGCTTTACAACGATTTCTTTACGCTCTAAATTGCTAAAGTAAAACCAAACGAAACTAAAACTTACATATCAGAGGACTCTCTATGTAGGCATTGCATACTACCACAGATATGCACATATATCCTGGGATATATCTGCATCTGCATCTGCATCTGTATCTGTGTGCCATGCCAAATCTGTACAGTTAGCCAATAAGTTGCTTCTTTCTTTAATTTAAGCAATTAATGTTTTAGTTAAGCACTTTACAAGAACCAGCACAGAGCAGTTTTAGTTAGTTTAGTTACAGGGTTTAGTTTTCTCTGCCATAAGAGCTTTCCCATGGAGGGATATCCAGGTCGGGAAAATCGCTAGGAAATTGCCGTCTCTCTATTGCTATAGGGCCTGGCAGGTAACACGGAGGAGTACAGTACTATTTTAACGAAATATGAAGCAAATATATATATAGATATATATACATATATACGTAGAAAATATCTTAATGTAAGGAAGTGTTACTTGCCAACAGATCAAATACGATTATGTACAATTATGTGTAAAATATGTGAACAGATGCCATACAAACATACATATGTAATAAAAAGACGAAGAATGAACTTGATTTCGAGTCGATTCATATCACTCTATCACTCACGCCATTTTCCAGGCGGGACATTATGAATGAAGAAACCCATTGGACTGCCGCTGAATGGATGTGTTAATCCTGCTGCACAAACGCCTATCCTTTCATCGAAGTGCGTTCCGCAGGGCTGTAGCAATGGCAAATGACAGCCACAAAAGCCCCCATTGCCAAGGGGCGTTGGGATGGGCCCTGGCCATCTTGCAGTAAATCATCAGCACTCATCGACAGCCACGTGGTTTGCCGCCTCGGGCTCTTGCTCGTCGTATTTGGCTGTTGGGTCCCATGATGTATTTTGCCCACTGGATGGCAACTGGAGGACAACTGAAATCCAAGTCGCATTATTAATTTTTAGCCAGAGTTGTTTTGAAAAAGAAAGGAACAGCTAGATCTTTTGGCTTTCAATAATTTCAATTTGGTACGTAGTATGCCGCTGTTTTACAGATCATTCAGTTTCGCAATCGATTATCTCCGACTCAACAGTCAGTTCTAAGCAAACCCCGAACACTAACGCCGTCCCAGTAATAACATTTGATGCAAATACAACATACAATATGTCGAACATAGGGCGTTTTGTAGATAGGAATGCCGATATACGGGCTGCGGGGCTGACGACCTCGTTCGGCGACCTGGTGAGCGTTCCGGATTGCATGCCCTTCACACACCCGTCCGACTTGGCCGAGCAGCTTATGCGGCAGGAGTGCAGGCGGAGCACGGTCAAGCCACAGAGTAAACGTAACCCGATTGTTCCCAGCGATAGTATGGAGAACATGTTGAACGGAGAAGAAAAGTCCCGTTTCGTGGCATTCCGTGAGAAGCTGTATGAGGCCATGTATTCGAAGAAGCACCGGTTGGGAAGGATAAGGCCGACACACTCGAAGCCAGAGAGTGTGACCAATGATAGCCGCACCTTTGGCATGGCATCGACAGCTTCGGAGCCCTTGTACCCGATTATATTGCCACCGAAGTCCGCAGAGCAGGTCAACCAGGAGTACGCCGAGTTTCACGATAAACATATCATTAGCCACAATCATTATTTCCCCTCGGAAATTGTCAATCGCAAGTGGGTTTAATAACCGCCCCCCAAGGGCCTCACTATACCCCCCCTCACGTCACTTTATCGCACTCCTTTCTGAACTAGATATACACATCCCTTCGATCGGCGAAATACTTTTGGGATGCACTTGGGCACCGACAGGAATGGAACGCTGGTGAAAAGTGTCTTGAGCCTGTTCGAGGGTCCCGATCTCATTATCAACAAGACCCACAATGACTTTATTGAACGCCACTGCGGCCCTTTAGGAAAAAAGTACAAGTAAGTGCCGATCTTTACTCGAATACTGCATTGTATCTCTCTCCATATCTATCCATAGACATCCGTATGAGGTGCCAGACATAATTCATGGCATTACACATCCATTCGAGTGCGATGCCAAAATGCTGTTCGAAAACATCTCGCCCTGCCTGAACAACGACAGACTGAAGGATGCCTTGAGGTACCTGATCGTTTGGCGTCGGAGCCTGCATAAGCGGCCCGACTTCCACATTTACGACCTGTGCTCAGTGCTGCAGAAGAAAGACAAGGAGCTCACGGGCCATCTGCCCCTCTCGAAGATCATTGAGACACTGGACCGTCTTCACATTGTGGTGGACACCCAGAAGATGCGTACCGCTCTGAACCACTTCCATTTGATCATCGACGAGGGCTGTGCCACAGAGCGTGTGAGTTACGAGAAGTTCTGCGATCTGGTCGGCCAACAGGTGCCACTGCCAACGGTGGACAGTCGGTTGCCCTTCCCGGCTAAGATGTACTGCTTGGATACCACCTACCGCCTGTTCTGCGCCGACCGCAATAAGAAGCCCGTCGAGGGGTTAGTGGAAAAGAAGAAATTTCTGACGCACCAAGAGCAGGATGAAGAGAACACACGGGCCAAGGATCTTATTGCCCCCGAGCCGGAGACTTTGTACGGCCTGGGGCCAAGCGACTTCACTCGTCCACGGCCCAAGGATCAGATGGAGCGCCTCTTCAAGAATGTCCTCCCCAAAGATGACTTTGAAACGGTTTGGCAGCGAGTGTTGGCAGAGCACAAGGATCCACATGAAATGGTCTCCGTTTACCAGTTTCGGACCGTCTGGAAACGGATACAGGATATTGCTGCCCTGGATTCACGCTACAGCCGCAGTTAAGATTTGGTAAAAGGTTACAAAAATTTATAAATATTACAAAAAAATGTTACTTTGCATAAATTCGATAAATATATATTGAGAAACATATACTCTATCCAAATGGAACACTCAATCTGGTCGATAGGGGTGGCATTGATTGATTGAATTGACTGAAGTAGTGAATAATAGATCGAATTTATCATACCATTGAACCCGAGGGTGCAAAGGTGATACGAACAGTTACTTATCTCTGCCATATACACAAAAAATGTGTTCACATAAATGTGTATGATCGTGAAATAAACTTCGTTGACGTGGCGTTGATAGTCTGATAACATATGTATATTGTATGGCCTCGTCCCAATCTACATACTAATGCGATACATTTTGCCTATAGAAATTGCAGCAGGTCACCCAGTCTTGGTAGATACAAATCTGGCTGAGGCAGACTGCCGTTCTGCTGCAGGATATCCAGTTGATAGCTGCCAGTCCCGACCAGCAGTGATTGCATGCCACAGTTTCTGGCAAAGGCGATATCAATTTTCGGGCTACAAAAAGGCGAAATGAGAAAACAGCAACACATTAGACGCTGAATAGATGCGGTAATCCTACTTACCAGTCGCCTATCATCAGAGTGCGTTCCGGCCGAAGGGCGCCGGACTGAATCAAGGGTTCAAGGACCACGGGACTTGGCTTTCCCATTTCCAAGGCCTCACGGCCCGCACACGCCTCGATGCCAGCCACAAAGGCAGCAGTGCCGGGAATGCATAAGGCGGGATACTTGTGCACGGCATCTCTGTTGGTAACCAGGAAGGCAGAGCTCCCGTTGCGGCAGAGGATGTGAGAGGCCCTGGCCATTTTGCAGTAACTGAAGTGTTCATCCCAGCCCACCACAACGGCACCCACATTGTCGGCCGCCTCAGGCTTGGTAAACTCTCGCAATGCGAAGTCCTGCCATTTTTCGCCCATGGGCAACGGCTCCTCTTCCCCGGCCCCGTAGCTGTCGATGCCGTTTGCCTGTAGTTCCCTGCCAATGGCTGCATTGCCCACCACAAAGACCTTGTGCTTGGTGCTGTCGAAGTCTGGAAGCTGTTTCAGATGGTCCACAATGGTGGCCGTGGGCGATATGATATGCTGGTCATTTGGCACTTGGAAGCCCAGGCGCTGTGCCCGTTCGAACAGTTCTCTTCGTGTTTTCAGGCCATTGTTGGTAATGAGATAGACACGTTTTCCGAACTGATTTTGCAGGGCATTCAATACGGCTGCAGCACCCTCGATAGCCGTATCATCCTGCCATATGGTGCCTGTAATTGTAATACGCTTTATTTCTTCGGCTATTTGAAATTTCAACGGTAACAGAGCCAGCTATCGATAGCGATAACAGCCATTGACATTGAAATCATATGTCATATGAATAAATATAGCACAAGTGCTGTCTCCCTCTCTCTCTCTCGCTCTCTCTCTGGAATAATTACACTCACCGTCGCCGTCGCTGAGAACCGTGTCAAAGCTGCGTAGCCACTCGCTCACCTGCTCCCCGGACAGGTCCAACATGTTGATAGTGCCACCCTCCAGCATTTTTCGTAAGTAACCGTAACCGCTCACGGAACTGTTTGCGACTCGACTAAATCAGCGGTGCGGCCGAGCGATTGCCATCTCACTTTGGCCCATGGAGCTACACTGCGCTTGCTCGGGCATATCTGTTTGGTAGCGTTGCTTGGAAAACTGTTTGTCGAGTCGACGTGTGTTTAAATATTTTATTTTTGGTAATATAAATTGTACTATTAATTTCTGTTCGTTTGTAGATATTTCCTGCCCCCCGAGGTGTTGCATTGATACATTTATGCATATGTACATTCACATTTAATGTTTTGGTAAGGGAAGGGCTGGCAGTAGATCTCCCAATTTGGGCAGGTACATGTCGGGTATGAGCTTCTTGTCCTCTAGATCTTTGCTTTTCTTCCACCGTTCTACGTCGCTCAGCTGATGCACGCCGGTGCCCACGAGCAGGGTCTGGAAGCCGCAGTTGAATCCCAACAAAATATCCGTATTGGCTCGGTCGCCAATCATCAGGGTTCTTGCAGGATCAATCCGACCAATCTCCTTTTGCAGCAGCACTTCGCAAATGGCAGGATTGGGCTTACCAATCACCTTCGCTGTACGCTCCGCGCAGGTCTCGATGGCCCTTACAAAGCAGCCACTCCCAGGCACCACCATATTGTCCATGGGAAAGCGTTCATCTGTATTGGTGGCAATAAACAAGCAGTTCGGATCGTTTAGGTACGACGACGCCTTCACCATTTTGGGAAAGCTGAAGTGCTCGTCGAAACCGACCACTACGGCTCCAATGTCCGTTTCCAGTTGAATCTTCGTAGTCTCCGCCATCGTGCCCTTCATGGGGTCTGGGCCACACCCGGTATGCCCGATTCCAACTGCATCCAGTTCCTTCGTAATCCCATCGCTACCAATAACGTACACTCGCTTTTCGAAGTTGCGCTTTTTCAGGTAAGCCGCTGTGGCATGGGCTGTGGATATGATCTCACCTTCGGTAATACTAAAGCCCATGTTCTGGGCTTTCTTGAGCAATTCTTCTCGAGTCTTGGTTGAGTTGTTTGTGCAGAAATATATATTCTTTCGCATGGATTTGAATAGGTTTATAACCGAAACTGCACCATCAATGGCCCTCCCGTAGACCCACAGAACTCCTGAAACAAACAGAACATATGACATATGAATGTAGAGTATACCACAAGTCATCGTGGTCAATTTTTGCTCTCTCGCTTTCGCGCTCTCTCTCTCTCTCTCTCTTTGACATTGACATTCGCACAGTCAAATTCGCACGCTACGACCTTAGGCCGACTTTGATGACGTACAGGGCCAGCCAGATGCTGACCATGTATTACATTACGCAACTCCCTTCCCGTGGGAGTACCTGAATCATTCATAATTTACCTCCCCCCGACAAATACTTACCGTCACAGTCTGTTATGACTGTGTCGAAGCCTTCGAGCCATTCCGTCACCTTGGCGGTCGGGAGGTCCATGAGGTTTGTACATGACTGTTTGTATGCGCACATGTTGGGGGCTGGTGTTGTTTTGAAACGATAAAAAACAAACCTCTAACTAACTTGAGCGCGTCACTTTTAATTTATTAATTCGAATTTCTTACCTAGGAAATAACACACGAACTCTCTTTATAAGATACCAAACAGCTGTGTTGAATAAAATTGGCTCTGTTAACGCACTGTGAACTTATAGCCCTCTTACACTGCCGCGCGTTTTCTATCGATATCGGAATGGACGCAACGGCAAAGAATAGACGTATACACTGACAGGCGCGTCATGAGAATAGCTAATTTATGTGGAGGAGGGCAACCAGTTGGACAGATAAGTGCAAAAATGTGCTGTAGAGCGCAAAAGTAATCAAATATTAGAAATAGACTTTTGAGAAATCGTAAGAAATGTAAGAAACGATCGGTAATGCTGTGAGCCGCAGCTAGGGCGGAGTGGAAAAAGAGGATTCACGACATCTTGTTTTATTTTAATTTTAATTTGTTTTGCGATACTGATTAGTATTCCGCTACGTCTGTCTCTCTTTCTCTCTCTCTTCTCACACCCATACAACACCAGTCGTTCTATCTCGCTACCCTCCGACAGGTGGCGCACGCACACTGCACGACCAAGAGTGAGAAAGAGAGATAGAGTGAGCGAGAGAGAATGAGAATGAGCGTGGAATGGCTATCGTAGTAGCTACAAATGAATTTCTTAATTCTGGCTAGAATAATCTGAACCTTATGCAAATCCAGCAACCTGGTAGATATTGTCTTTCTGGCACAGATGCTCGAACTTTTTGGGTGAGGGGCGAAATTTCGAAATACTCTTGCAACAGTGTGATATAACAGAAATCAGGATACAAACTTTGCTTGGTCTAGCTCTAATAGTCTCTGAAATCTAGACGCTCGTCGGGACGGACGGACCATAGACTAGGCTGTTAATGCTGATCAAAAATATATATACTTTATGGGGTCGAAAGCGCGTTTTTCTGGCTGTTACACACATTCACTTCCGGCAAGACGCAGTCCCAGCTTAAGCAGGCTTATAAACTAAGCATGCCTGGCGCCTAGCAGGTAGTTATGTCCAGATATTTCAATCTACACTTGGAATTTAACCTTTACGTTAGTACGTTAATATTAAAGAACTTTAAAACAAATAAAAATTTTCTGTTCAAAACGATGAACACAATGTTAAAAGAAGAGCTCCTCGAGCTTGTTTTGAATGACTATTTGAGGGGTGATAAGCCACAGGCTAAGGAGGAGGGAATCGAGGAGGAGTACATCCTGATGCTGTCCTCCAACCCCAATAAGGTCCTCACAACCGATTATGTGAAGGAAACCGTTCGTTGCCTCGCCCAGCGCGAAGGCGACCCTCGAGAGATTGTGGTGACGATCAAGATTAACAGCGAGAAGAGTTTGGGCAAGAGAAATCCAGTGAAGAAGACTGCAGAGAAACCAGCAGACTTCGATTCGGAGGGACCACAGAGTACACCATTGAACAATTTATCTCCAGAAGAACTTTTGAAAGAACTGAAGGAGAAAGAACAAGAGAAAGACGAAGAATCTAAAACTAGGCCGGTTGCGTATGTTGCCCCAATGAAGCCTTGCCCTAAGAAGTAATGGCCCCTGACCAGGGACAACCAAGGTCGAACTCATTTCTGGCTGGCCGATGTCCCATCAATTCTCTTCCGGTCAGACAATTTTTTTCGAATTATATTAAACGAATCCATGGAATTAGTTATATTTCAATATTCCCAGACGTTTAACAGGTATTGGCACGCATTTTGAAATGCCCAAATCATGTCAGAGCTTTTCTTTCCCCATTAAGACCCTTAGCGCTTAACTGTTTGATTTTTTATTGTATTAGGTGCCTAATAGTTAAAATTAATTACTTATAGTACAGGCATTCATTGTCGAATCTCAGCTTTTTTTTTGTTTTTCTTTTGTGTTTATAAAATTGCTGGAAGAACAAACCATTGCAAGATAGATTTGAAATACTGACCCTAAACAATATATAATGTAAATCGTTAAGCAAAAAAAATGTTCAATAAGAGCTTGGGCGTGGTGGGGCGGGGTGGGACGGGGCGAGCTAGAATCGAGAGCGGAAACGTTTTGCGTGCGATTTGTACCATAACTTGCATTTATGTAAATAAATCTCATTAAGCTAGCGCGAGAAATGAACGAGAAATGTTTGCTAATTACAAAAATACACTATTTTACAATAATCATATTGATAAATTAATAACTAGTCACGAAACGTTCTCGAGAAGGATTGCATTTATGGTGCGCTGCAATGAGACACCATAGATTTCTAGAGAAGTTCATGCTGTTCTTCAGGCACGGGCGATACTGAAGCTGTATGCATCTCTGGATTGGTCTGTGTGCTCGTGTTTTTGTTTTTTTTTTCCATCTGTTCGGTTCTGATGAGAGGTAATGAGCCGAGTTTATTTTACTGAAGGATCCTGCCTAAAACTGTGACATTAATAAGCTTCCACCGCCACCCCCACTGCCAGCGCCGCCACCTCCTCCGCCAGGACCGCCGCCAACGCCCAGGACCGAGCCCAGAAGGCCTCCGCTGGTCATTTGCTGTTGCTGCATAGGCATCTGTTGCTGCTGCATTTGCATTGATGAGGAGAAGTTGTTCATACCTACGACACCAGGACCCATGCTGGCGCTCAGATTGGACATACCGGTACCGGCGCCAGGACCAGGACCTCCGCCCAGAGATCCCAGGCCGGTGGCACCCATTATTCCGCCTCCAGCAGCATTGCCCAGACCAGCTCCACCCGGCAGAAGGCCGACTCCAGGCTCTGGACTTTGATTTTTCTTTTTTCGCTTCTTCTCCTTTTTCCTCTTCTTCCGTTCCTTATCATCCTCATGCCGCTTCTGTTTCTTGTGCTTCTTTTCGTAAGTTTCCAGCCCAGTAGAATCTGAAACTTCGCCGTATAAGACAGTGCCCCAGGCCGCAGAAATCAATGAGGCACTTACCCAGTAGCGTTGACTCCTGCCCCGTGGTCACGCCATCTTTGTGTTTGTGCTTTTTGTGCTTGTTTTTGTGTTTTCGCGCAGGTGTGACATATGTGGTACGATACTGCTCCGGAAGCTAAAAATCGAAAGATTGAACGATATGCTGAGTAGTGTGGAAGTAGCAAATGAATATATGTGTAGCCACATACCGGTCCGGGATGCAATCGAAAGCCGGCCAACTGCACTGCAGTCAACGGAAGGAGCTCCTTGCCACCGATGGGCGGCTTTTCGATCACGCTCCGCAGCGTACTGTTTTCGACGGGATGCGTTATGAGGTCATTGATGCCGGGGATGTTTTGCAGAAAGGAAGACAGCGATTCTTTAAACTTTTTCTCCTTGAATTTGGTCAGCGTGTGGTGCAGACCGTATTCAGTCATGAGATCCTTGTCACCTGTCAGCTCCGCCTTAGCCGGCGGCTCCTTCATCGAGTAGAAGGGACCCGTGTGTATGATGGTTGGTGTTTTGCCCAATGAAATGGTTGTCTTCAGCGTCCCCGATGAATCCTGGCGGGCCACAACCGGCGAGCGTCCGCCGTGTGGCGACGACCTTGGAGAGTCCGTCATTATGTTGCCGTAGTTGCTCATCATATTGGCAGAATTTACAAAACAACAGAGGCTGGCGCCAGGTAGCAGCAACGACAACGACTACGAAAGCCAAAAGAGCTGTGGCAGCAACAACAATAAGGCCAGAAGGTCTCGGTCTCGCCTGGCAAGTAACTTTCGCAACTCGCTTGCAGGCAACGCCTCCCAAACAAGCTCTTCCAAATATATAACCTTGTCTCAATAAACTCGGCCGAATACTTTTAAATACAAATAAACTATTAATTTGCAGGTTTTATGGCGTTTTTTAACAGATTTGCCGAGCAACTCCCGCCATCTTGTTGTGTTCGCGTACGAGTGTGACCGCATTGCGAATCCCGCGAAAAACTGAAGTTGTGCGAACAATACCATTTGGAAACTTCTTGAAAATACCAAATAAGTGTGGAAAAATATCAGAAATACAAGCGCGATACATAGGTGCATTTCGCCAGGATATCGATGATTATACTTTCACATGTATTATTTGCGTGTTTCAAAATTCCTTAAACGAATTTTAGTTTAGTGCATACATTTCTTGTAAATTTAATATATCACATATTTTTCATATATTGATAGACCGCTAGTTCAAATACTTTTCTAACTTATTAGCTAAAAAAAGGCAAAGCCTGAAAGGAAAAGCAAGCAGTGAGAGCGAGAGAGATATATGCGACAGCTTAGCTGTCCGTATACTGTATGGTTAGTGGCGCAGCGCTGCGTCGATTATTATATCATCGTGTTATCATTATATATACTGGCTTTTTTGTGAGAAAATAGGATTTATACGAAGAATTTGCAAACAGTATTATTTACGTGAAATTGCAGGTTAAATGTTAAAACAGTATCGGTATATTTACGGTATATTTTGAAAAAGAGAAGGTCTTTTTTTAGGGTCAGACCGTATATCATATCGACAAATCCGCGGTCACACTGACCCCAAAATTACACACTGAACACAAAAATTAGAACCCGAAATAAAAACACTTAAATTTAGTGCTTTGCTTTAAGTTAAATACGAACACCTAGCTAACCCACGAAACAAGTCCCCCAGCCATGCAGTCGACGCTACGACAAGCTGTCTCGGCGGTTGCCAAGGTACGGATTCTACGATTCCTATTCCCCCAAAGTTATGCAATCTAACCTATGTATGTGGCGGGGCCCAAGAACTGGCTAAAATGCAATAACTATGCTTTAATCTGCGAGCGCAGTGCAGCTGCAGATGGCTCCCAAGACTAACGCAATGGCCTCACGATTCCACGCTACCTGAGATTTCAAGTTCGGCAATTGGCCTAGTATCAGCTGATACGTGATCAGCGATTAGCGAACAGCAGTGCGTGCTATTGGCGTGATAAAAAGCAAATCATGCTGTGGCTGCTTATCGGACCCGGACCACTTTGACGAGCACAAGCAATAAATTTAACTATCTGTCGTTTCAGACTCATCTGCGGTCGAATGCCGCCATTCTGGGAGCACTCAATGCCCGCTTCTACTCCTCCACACACGAAGCCGACATTGTGGTGATTGGCTCTGGCCCTGGCGGCTATGTGGCCGCAATTAAGGCTGCCCAGATGGGAATGACGACAGTCAGCGTCGAGAAGGAGGCCACACTGGGAGGAACTTGTCTGAACGTGGGTTGCATTCCCTCCAAGGCCCTGCTGAACAACTCGCACTACTATCACATGGCTCACTCTGGAGATCTGGCCAGTCGCGGCATCAACTGCGGCGAAGTCTCCCTCGACCTCGAGAAGCTTATGGGGCAGAAAACGAACGCTGTGAAAGCTTTGACCGGTGGCATCGCGATGCTCTTCAAAAAGAACAAAGTCACACAGCTGACGGGCTTTGGCACCATTACCGGCCCCAACGAGGTGCAGGTGAAGAAGAGCGATGGCACAACAGACACTGTGAAGGCCAAGAACATTTTGATTGCCACCGGATCCGAAGTAACCCCATTCCCAGGCATCACTGTAAGTTTCACAGTCGGACAGTTTATTCCTTAAAGCTTACGATCGATGTTTATTCCAGATCGACGAAGAGGTTATCGTGAGCAGCACCGGAGCCCTGAAGCTGGCCAAGGTGCCCAAGCATCTCGTTGTGATCGGTGCCGGCGTCATTGGTCTGGAGTTGGGTTCAGTGTGGTCTCGTCTTGGCGCCGAGGTCACTGCCATTGAGTTCATGGACACTATTGGCGGCGTGGGCATCGACAACGAGGTCTCCAAGACCTTCCAGAAGGTGCTCGTCAAACAGGGACTCAAGTTCAAGCTGGGCACTAAGGTCACGGGCGCTTCCCGCAGCGGCGACAGCGTCACCGTCTCCGTGGAGAATGCCAAGTCCGGAGAGAAGGAGGATATCCAATGCGATGCCCTGCTGGTCAGTGTGGGACGTCGTCCCTATACTGAGGGCCTGGGACTGGAGGCCGTAGGTATTGTCAAAGATGATCGCGGACGCATTCCCGTGAATGCCACCTTCCAGACGGTGGTGCCCAGTATCTACGCGATCGGCGATTGCATTCACGGTCCCATGTTGGCCCACAAGGCTGAGGATGAGGGTCTGATCACCATCGAGGGCATCAATGGCGGACACGTTCATATCGACTACAACTGCGTGCCCAGCGTTGTGTACACCCATCCCGAGGTGGCGTGGGTCGGAAAGTCGGAGGAGAACTTGAAGCAAGAGGGTGTGGCCTACAAAGTGGGCAAGTTCCCATTCCTGGCCAACTCGCGTGCGAAGACCAACAACGACACCGACGGCTTTGTCAAGGTCTTGGCCGACAAGGCAACGGATCGCGTGTTGGGCACGCACATCATTGGACCTGTTGCCGGAGAGCTGATCAATGAGGCTGTTCTGGCCATGGAGTATGGAGCGTCGGCCGAGGATATTGCGCGTGTCTGCCATGCGCATCCCGTAAGTGAAACTCCCATCGGAAAGCCCGCTGCTTCTCCAGAAAACCGATTGAACTTTACTTCACCTTCCTTTCAGACCTGTGCCGAAGCCCTGCGTGAGGCCAATGTGGCGGCAGCCTTTGGCAAGCCCATCAACTTCTAAAGCCAATTCCTCATCCCAGCTGGAAGGTGGAACACTGCACTGCGTTTAGAACAACCAATCATCTATTCAAAAACTATTTGAAACAACCGAAAGTCTCCGCCTATCTGTAATTCTCAATGTTGTAACAGTAAAATGGAAACCATAAATATTGAAATTACGCAAAGCGTTTTCTGCACCCCAATGCAATGTAATGCAATGTATGTTCATTAAGCCTAGAATAAACACAGTTTAAAAGTCGATAAATTGCGCCCAACACTGCTATCGATTGTTATGGCTGCACAAACAGGAAGTGTGGCAGCCCTATCGGCTTTTCTAAATCTATCTGGCAGCACTACCATATATTTCCACATTTGTTGATATTATTCAGAGTTTTCCCTTGTGTTTCGGAAATTTTCACATTTAATATTATTTTTCGTTTCTCAACCCAAAATTCGTAGCGCTAGGCAATGTTTCGCGCCAGCAAATTAAACATGCACCTGCATCCTGCAAGCATACCGCTACCAAGATTGCGCTTGGCACTGTCCAGACGTTTCAAGTCCAATCTCCTGCAGGGATCATCACTCCACCGCTCCGCCAGGGCCCAACTTATTTCAGCTGGCAAGCACCAACAAAGCAGCGGCCATTTGCCCGAAGAAGTACGTTCATAGATCGTTTGGAAGAAATTTTTCGGTTTATGTAATACCTTCTCCTTGATATAATAGAAATCCCCTTGGCCGCGAAAGATCTTCAGTGGGATTCAGCCCACAGGATCAGTACATCTCGGCAACTATTTGGGCGCTGTCCGCAAGTGGACGCAGCTGCAGAACAGTCGCGATGATGTCACAGTCTGTATAGTGGATATGCACTCTATAACCATGCCGCACAATCCGCCGGTGCTACGGGAAAACATCTTTACGATGGCTGCCACACTGGTGGCTTGCGGCATTGATCCCGCCAAGAGCACGTTGTTTGTCCAGTCGGCTGTATTGGAGCATTGTGAGTTCAACTGGATCCTTAGCTCGATGACCACCACGCCTAGGCTGGCGCAGCTGCCCCAGTTCAAGGAGAAATCCCGCCTGGTCCGCGATATACCCTTGGGGCTGTATGTCTATCCGGTGCTGCAGGCTGCCGACATCATGCTGTACAAGTGAGTGAAGATATCTAATAATATCAATGCTTTTCTGAAAAGCGGTTTACTGTAGGGCCACACATGTACCCGTTGGAGCGGACCAGTTGCAGCACATTCAACTCGCACAGCACTTAGCGAGGACATTCAATGGGCGCTACGGTGAAGCGTTCCCTGTGTGCCATGCCATCATCGAGGAGGGTGATGCCTCCAGAGTGTTGTCTTTGCGGGATCCCTCTAAGAAAATGTCAAAGTCAGAAGCGAATCCCAAGGCCACGATCAACCTCTGCGATCCGCCGGAGCTAATAATGGAGAAGATTAAGAAAGCCGTCACCGACTTCACCTCGGACATCACCTACGATCCCAACTTGCGCCCTGGTGTCAGTAATCTCGTCAACATCCACGCCCAAGTAACAGGGCGCAGCATCCGAAGTGTCTTGGAGGAGGCCAAGACGTTGGACACAGCAAAGTATAAGGAGCGCGTGGGCGACGCTGTCATTGAACATCTGCGCCCGATTCGTGAGCGAATCCATGAGCAATTGTCAAAGAAAAACGAGCTGATCCATATGCTAGAGATTGGAGCCGAGAAGGCACGTATCCAGGCGCAAAAGACAATGCGCGACGTCAAGCAACGCCTTGGCCTTGGAGCATATGCGGCTGTTCCTGAGCCAGTTGTCGTCGCTCCCTTGCTGCCTGAGCGATCCAAAATGACGGCTAGTCAGCGCGTGGCCAAGAACGTCCAACTGCCGAATCACAATGCTCATAGTTACACGCATTTAGAGAACCGTAATGAGCGGAGTAGTGCGTCTGGGACTGCATCGCCACACGGAAGCGCCGGGGAAGCAGCATGCACTGCAGACCTAAAGGCAATGGCCCAAGCTCAGGCCATGGTGAGGCCTCCCATGCGTCGCCCTGTGGTGCCCAAACAATCCATGCGGGTTGAGAAAGAGCGCAAGGCTACTCGGAACAACATTTTCAGCAATTCATCTGCTATCGGCTTTAAATCGCCCTCCAAACATGATGTTCCCGTTGCCGAAGGTAAGGGACAGCATGCTAGTAGCTTCGGATTTGCTAAACCCGAAATTGTGGACGGGACAGAAAAGGCCGGCGCCCACAGGTTTGGACAAAATACGAATACCAGTGCGGTCGCTAGTATTATGCATAAAATTAATGCCGCCAAGAACCAAGACACTCTGGTCCACAGTGCCTACTACAACGCATTTCATGGTTCAAAATCTGGCACCCCGTCCCATGTAATCAAGAACCGGAGTATCGAGACGAGTATTGAAAAGAGCACCAATGATGCCAGAACAAATACCTGTAATGAATGCAGCAACAGTGAGAAAAACAGCAGCGAAAATCCCAGCAGTGAATACAGCAACAGCGAACAGGATGAGATTAGCAACGCATCAAGCACAACGGCGGACAGCGAAGATCCAGAAATGTTTGATGAGTTGGAACAGGAAGATGAAGTTCCCGAACGGAGCGCGTCTGAGGCTGCTGGCAAGGCGGAAATAGGAAACTAGAATACATTGCAATTGTTATTAAATATATATATAGTATATATATATACATATAGTCAGATTTAGATATACATATGTACATATGTATATCGAAACACAATGTTCTCAATCAAGCCCTCTGAGGACGTCTCGGTCCATACACACACTCGGAGCGGACGAACATCGTCTGCCGTGGAACAGCCAGGGAGCGTTGTCTGAACGCCTTGGGCTTCCCACCTGACTTGACTGGTCAACCGGAGGCCAACCAACCTGTGCCAGAGCCACAGGCAAGGTCAGAGACGGAACTGGCCTGCTCGCCCCGGAAGAAATTTAGACTGCATCGCCCGTAATTTTTCTGTTCAATGGCAGATTGTTACTAACCACAAAAACTATCAGTAATGTGGTACTTTTGTTTAATTGCTTATATTTTGTTGTAACCACACTTGGTAGTAGCCTTGCCTTATCCGCTGCTTAAGAATGTCGAACTCTCCAGCAAAGCGATCATGGATGGGATGGATCGTCTTCGTTGCACGTATATACATATGTATACCCAATTCTCAGTCAGTACATACTCTTTCTCTCTCTGTCTCTCTTTCACACAAACACCAATTTTGTTTCTTTCCCGCTCTTTTCCGCTCGAGAAGGAGAGTGAATAAGAGAAACTCGTTGAAGTGGAAGCGTAGCCAATCTGATCCGAATTTGGCAGTCTGATACCAGACTCTATGATATAGCCTTTTTGCCACAGATTTTCGTTTTTTGTGATGTAGGAAGGTGGGAGATCTAGGCGCTCACCAAGACGGACGTACAGAAAGACATGACTATATCGACTCGACTTTTAGTGCTGATCAAGAATAAATATACATACTTTATAGGGTGGGAGACGCTTCCTTTGTCATACTGCTGGCCCTCCAAGTGGACTGGACATTGGCGCACAAACTAACAAAAAATAATGATGTATTTTTTTTAACAATCTTCTCTTTTATTGTTATTAATATTCTGGGAATTTCATTCCAATTCGGTTTCAGACACTAACTGTGCTGCTTGGGGGGCCTTCGAAATGACTTCCCCCTTCACAAACGCCTTCAGAAACAGCTTGAACGCCTTCCTCTCATCAGTAGTGAGTTCCAAGTCAGAGTCCATACTTTTCTCTCTGATTGTGCATTGGTTCGCGGATTCCGCCACTATAATCGTATGGTTTTCCATCAGCGCATGGCGAATTGCAATTTCGTTTGCGAGGATTGCATTATACTCAGCACTCAATAAATATCCGCCTTTGATTCCAAAATTTTTGGCTGTAAGCTCGGTAGGGTGAAAACTTAGTTGGTGTAAATAGCATGCAGCACTTACCGCTGGTACGAATATTGTAAAACATGACCTCTGGCTCTGTAAGGCCCATCAGAATCTTCGTATCCCCACTGGGAGAAGATATGAGGGCGTAGTATTTTCCATCTTTAAAGCAAGACATTTTGGGAGGTCTTATGAAGTTTTATGTCTTCAGTTTATATTATAAACTTTATAAGGTTCTGTTAACAGTGGAAAATTTGTAGGGAATTTTTGTGTGGTATCCCTATTTTTTTTTGTCTCTCAAGCTCCTGACTGTCGAAGTGTTAGAAAATGCTATTAATATTTCTCTCTACTGCGTCGCAGACCAGAGGTTAGAGATCTAGCTAATGGCCCTATGACATTAGACTTAGCTAACTGACTAGCTGCAAAAACAGAGAAAGCCGTATGGAAGTAGCATGCAGTGAGAGTTTTTTTGTTTTAAAAAACATCATGTTGTTTCAAATAGTGCCTCAGTTCTTCGAGTGATAGCCGGGATATATGTCTAGAGACGGTTGAGTTTTGTCTCATGTGCTATCTCTCTCTTCGCAGTAAAGTTAGCGAAGTCTAATGCCATAGAGCTTTAAGAGCTACAGGTATATACATATTTTGCATCCTTAACTTAATTACCGTATACCACAATACTTCAAGACCAATATAGACTGAAGAAGTTCCGATTAGTCAATAGTCCATCCTAGCCTTGATTGGTCAGTTTGGTTTAAATTTTGTTTTACATTGAATTTAACTATTATAATTAAGTGTAGTATAATATGTTTATTTATTGCTTTCAGCTAACTTATTGTATTTTCCATAATTTTTGGTTTCTTATGCGCTATGGTATGGATGTTTGTGTGAATATTAGTGTTGGGTAAATATTGCTCACTCATGAGCAACACAACACTAGTGAATATAGATACGATCGCGTTTCCTGCAGGCAAAATACATATGTATATGCATGTGTTGTTACAAAAAAAAAAAACAAAAAATGTGTTGTATGTTGGTGTGTGAAAAATGTGTGTGTTGTTTACAAATATCATCGTGCATTCAAGATGTGCTGTGCATCAATATCAGCGGGACCTCGTTGCTGTATTTCGAGTTTTCTTGGCCAAGCAGGGCCGATTCGCTACAATCGCGCATAATGGCCATGGAATTGTTGCGCTGCTCCCTCTGCCTCAAGCGGCTGTGGCGGATGCCGTAGGCCAGGAAGATCGCCAGACCTATGGTGAGCCAAATACAAAAACGCACCCAGGTGAGGATGTCCAATTTGATCATCAGGTATATGTTGATCAATATGGATATGCCTGGGAGCCAAGGAACCAAGGGCACCTTAAAGGAGAGATTCACTGCGGATGTGGGCTGACGCGAGATGATCACCAGCATGATTACCAAAGGTATGGCCCCCAGTATCAGGGCAATGCCATCGAAATGAGTGACATTTGACAGATCCTCTTCAAATTTGGTAAGAATTTGCGAGAAAACAAAGCACCACAGAGCTGAAAGCGAATGATGGCGTTGATTCTTTGAATTTTATAAATAGCACTGTTTTACTTACAGAACAGAGTCACCATCACAGTGACAATCCTCGACGTTTGCTTGGTTGAGACGGTCAAGCCTTTGGAATTAAAGAGACGCCGCCACAGTGCACAGGGCTGATCCTGGTCAGCGGAACCGGAAGAGCGACTGTTGCCAATGATGCGACTCTCGCGACGGTCATCCACCTCGTAACGCAGCATAAGGACACAGCTAGCCACCATGGAGTAGGCCAGCAAGGTGCCAATCGACATCATATTCACCAGCTGGCTCAGGTTGAAGACGGCGGCCAGAATGCCAGTCAACAGACCGGTAAGCATGGTTCCCTTGAAAGGAGTTTTGTACTTTTCGCTAATGTCTCCCAAAAACCTGAAGAGCAGTCCGTCGTTGGACATGGCAAAGACAATGCGTGGCAGTGGAAACATTGCCCCCATCATGCTGGAGCACAGGCCAAACATCGCGCCAATGCTGACCACATACTCCGCCACATGCCAGCCATTGATCCTGAAGACGTGCGGCAGCGGTGCCTTTTCATCCTGCTCATAGTAGGGCAGCATCATGGTTAGCACCGAAGAAACGCCAAAGTAGGCGAGGAAAATCATGGCCAGGGAGACGATTACAGCAAATGGAATGGATTTCTTCGGATTCTTTGCCTCCTCGCCCGCGGTAGCGATGCAATCGAAGCCAATGAAACCGTAAAAGCAAACAGCGGCCCCCTTAATAATGCCAGAGACACCGTATGGCATAAAGCCACCGTCGCCATATCCCTCCGGCACAGAAGATTTCGGTATGGACCAGTTGCTGCTGGAAACTATCGAAGGAATCAGACCAATGGACAACCAAAGATTGTGTGTGACTAGAACTCACCATGGAAGAGCCCCGCGATGATCACAAAGAGAACTACGCCCAAGTTCAGAATGGTGAAGACATTATTTACCCGCGTCGACTCCTTGGCGCCCACGGCAATGGCCAACGAGAACAGTATGGTGACCACAAAGGCGAACAGATCCGGATAGGCACCCAGACCCTGTATATTAATGGGCATATGGGTGCCCAGAAAGCTGCTCATTGGGTTCCCACAAAGTTGGTCCAGATATGTGCTTAGCCCTTTCACGACGCTAGCGGAACCTGTCCGAAAAATGAAAACATCAAAACGGAAATCAATATAAAATATGAGAATTAATTGATAAAAATAATGGCAATCAGACGGCGGCGCCATCAATTGAATTGCCGCCAGCTTACCAATTGCGTATTCGAGTATGAGATTCCATCCAATGAGAAACGCAATGAACTCGCCAATGGTCACATAGCTGTAGATGTATGCAGAGCCCGCCTTGGGAACACGGGCTCCGAACTCCGCATAGCAGAGACCAGCGAATATCGAGGCAATCGCAGCAATTAGAAAGCTGATGACCACAGCGGGGCCGGCCACCTGCTTGGACACTTCGCCAGCCAGGACATAGACACCCACGCCCAGCGTTGAGCCAATGCCGAGGGCCGTGAGATCAAAGGCCGACAAGACCTTGGCCAGCTTGGACTCATTCGAGTCCTCCAGAGGCTTCTTGCGTGTGAGCACGCGAAAGGCATTCGTCACGCTCCAGCTCGGCATGCTGAAAAATGTAATCGAATTAAGTACATATGTAATAACGGGCCGATCGTTCGGCTCTGTTCGGGCTGTAGGGCTGTAGAGCTGTAGGGCTGTAGGGCTATAGGGCTTTTGCTGAGCTCTACAATATACTCGGACCTGATGCTTACAGAACCCACATATTAACACGTTCGCAGATTTTGTACGGGTCGCAATGGGGGTGGCGATGGCGGTGTCGGTGGAAAGTGGCTGTAGATGGGCCACGCTTCCATTGGGCAAAAGAAATGTGCGGAGTTGGGTTTATGGGCCGGCCATAAGAAAATTAGTAGGCGTCTGTTAATGTGCGAATGTAGACTACGTTGTTTATGATTAGGTCGCGTCGCGAAAGCTGATTTAAATTTGAGTCTTGTGATCATCGGGTATGATCCCCCGATGACTAAGTGGGAAATCTGATTATAAACGCATCTACATATGCATCTCAATTGACTCGGATCCTCTAGGTTAATTCAGGCCAATTCTGGCATTTCTTCAGGCAGTTTTTGAATGTGGTCATGTAGATATTTATACACAGGCCTTGAATCCCACCAGCAAATCATAGAATACAAACAGTTTTTAAGAAATTGTATGGTCCCAATCTAAACTGGTATAGAATAGAGTTCTTCTTAGTTCCTCTTCGCTATTGTGCGTGCTTTACTCCTTTTTAAATAAGCGTTAAAGTTTTTCCTTTGAAATTTTCTTAAATTAAAGCGTAAACTGTTTCGATTCCCTTATATTCTCACCTTTTTTCTTTAAGAAATAATCAAAATCCCTTGGAGATTATCAACGAAAGCAATCTGTTTGTCTCTTTATTCGTATCACAAGTTTTCCACAGCTATTTTATGGTATTTTTTTTAGCTTTCAATTATCACAAATAATAATCCATCTTTTATAGTTCGATTCCCAGGCACGGAATCAAATGGCAAGAATGTGAATCGTCAAATTAAACGATGTATCTTTTCTTTCTAATTGAATTTCAGAATTGAATCGTATAGAGCCAGAGACTGTTCGAGCTGTGTCTGAACTTTAAACGTGAGTGCGAAACCGTTAAATAGCGCATTTGGGTGTACGGCCCGGGGAGATCGTGGTGAGTTGAGTTGAGGGAGAAGCTGCTTGCCGCCCTTACCCACCCCACGATGTGTGGGCAAGCCGCATCCTCAGGTCGGACACGAAGCCGTGGCGCCATGAAACGAGGTGGAATCACGTCGTTGGCGATGATAACGCTAATTAATTCGTCACCATGCTCGTAGAGCAGTCTTCCCTACGTACCCTACCCTGGGACCTGGGAATTCTCAGAATTCCATGCCAGGTGACTTAACATGACCTCTGTGGCCCCAAAAGCCTAATGAATTGTCATGATCGATTAGCGGTTGAGGTATAGTATTTTTGATATGATTATGGCGCATTACTGATATGAAGGGAAACCCGGAAAATGCTGACAATAACATTCCGTTAAAGGAATGCCTAATATGTGTATTTTGCATACAAATTCCTTTACAAGTTGTGCAATTTCTCATGTGGAGCGTCAAGGATGCCAAATTTTAGGGGAAAATAATGATGTCTTGAAGCCTCTTCAATGGATGGCTGTGGAACCTGAAACCCTATTTTTCAGTGAATGCCTTCTCAAAACATTTCCAGTGGTTTCCTATATGTTTATATTTGCTTTTAGCTACCCGATAGATTGGTATAATTTTTGTATCGGCTTCACGGCTTCAGTTTGCTGAAGTATGCAGTATGCTGATCCAAACATTTTTTGCAGGGAAGCTATTTGGTCCAAACTTCAGAATGGATTCCCTTCGTTTGCTTTCATGGAACCTTACTAATTGGGCTCTGTTTGAGTTTTCCATTGGCATGGCCGCGTGGATATGGATATTTGTATTGTTTATAGATAATTTTGGTGGCACGGGACTACGCGCTGCGGGGGTCGGATCGTGTGGCTCAGGTGGGTGTCAACCGTTGCTAAAAATACCCGCCGTATTTGATTGCATTTAACGCTAATTTTAGGCACTTGTTGCATGTCGACTCAGCTGACACTGCCACTGTTCTGTTCTGTTCCACTCCACTCACCCATAGTATTCGGCGAACTC